TTTCTGCAGCTGGTGTTTAAATAAAATCACCACATTCCTCTTGCTCAAAAGCTACCCCTGGCTCCCAAGGATAAATTCTACAGGATAAAATCTGTCTCAGGCTGACACCTAGCCAGCCAGGGGGGCTGCCCCCAACCCCAGCCTGAGCACCTCCCTGCTGGGCCACTCAGGCAGGGGAACCCCAGCACCACACCAAACATCCACCCAACTCCAGGCCCCTCTCCACTGAGGCACCCATCCCATCCACCCCAAGAGTACCCCGCAAGAATGTTCTGAGGTCCCAGCCCCTACAGTTCTCAGGCCTCAAGTAACAGCCCCAGGGGAGGTTGGGACTCCATCCCAGAGTCCACGGGGCTGGGCACGAAACCAGGAACCTATATTTTAGACCTAAACGTGATGCAGGTAGTAGCTAAACATCACTTTGAGAAACACTGGCTCAAATGAAAAGAGGATTCCCCTCAAAAGTGCCGGGACACACACACTCACAACAGCACCTTCCTCTCTCCCAGCACTCAAAAGGCTGAGGCAGCAGGACGGCAAATTTAAATCCACTCTGGAAATTTAGGGACTCTGTCTCAAAGTAAAAAGTGAATCAATAAACAGGGATGAGGCTGTAATTAGACAAGCGGGGCAGGCAGGAGGGAGGAGCAGATGACAGATTGGCGAGGAGCACTGCAGCAGAGGCACAGGCAGGGACTGGGGCAGGCCCAGCCTTCTTGGTCCCGTGCAGGCAGGCAACCAAGGGTAGATGCAGCAAGGACCCCTTCAGGCTCCCTCTTCTTGGGCTTTGTCCACAGACTGGAGAACTGCCACCTGCTCTTTCCACACGACGGAAGACAGCTCTTACCAGAGGCTGAGCCCTCCAGCAGGCATAGTGGTTACAGTATCGAGCTCTAAGGATAGAAGGCTTTGGGTTTGAATTCTGGTTCCATCAGCTTCCAGATAGGTGAGGTGGGATTAGGTGCTCACGTTCCCAGAGAGACACATGGTAGCCACTGTGGCTATCATGACAATTAGCGAAACGGTTCAAAGGTAAACTGCCGGGCTAGCAGGATGGGCATTGAGGGGCCCACGTGGGCTGACTCAGCCGTGCCTCTCTGCAGCCCCAGGGCCACTAAGGAGGCCACCAGGCACCCCCTGGACTGTTTGCTGTGTCTGGGGGCAGCAAGCTGCATGAGCTCACCTAATCTACAAATGTCACAACAATCAAGGAGAAAGCCAGGCACAGCCCGGCTGAATATCTGAATATCTGAACTGGTGCAGAATGGAAGCCCTGAATATCTGATTACAGCACCTTGGTCACTGTGGCAACAGGAAGGGTCTGATGAAATCGGCTCTTTTGGAGAATCACGCTGATGGACCAGAGGCAATGAAGCCAGCAGCTGTCACAATATCCGGGGCACAGACCCGGATCACAGAAGCAGTGAAGGCAGCAAATTGCCTGGGACCTTGTCCTAGGAGGGCCATGCTCCACTCCCTGCCCTAGAGGCAATGAGGAACTCTGGGTCTTCGTGAAACTTCCGGCTGCTAGCGCTGCTGCCACTGGGCCTGTCCACCTCAGGAATCGGGGCCCCTCAGCCAACCTCAGCCCCTTGTCCCTCAGCCATCACAGAAAAGAACCTCGAACACCAGGTGTCTGGCTAGTGTCACATCCAGCCAGAGCTGCAGGATGACATCCCTGCAGTGTCACAGCCAGGGGCTTTGGAAAGGGTCCCACTCAAAGAGCAGCACCTTTAAAAAGATGGGCAGTCCATACCTAGATGCACATCCAAGAGAATCAAAAACAGGTGTTCAAACAAAAACTTGTACACCAATATTCAGAGTACCATTGTTCATAATAATAAAAAGTTGAAAACAACCCAAATGTCCATCAACTGATGAATGCAAGAACAAAATGCAGCATAGTCGGACAATGTAATAGTATTCAGCCACAAAAAGAAGAGTCATACTACGGTACGGATGAACCTTGAAAATACTATGGTAAATCAAAGAGGCCAGACACAGAGAACAAATGTTGTATGAGTCCATGCATATTGAATGTCCAGAATAGGCAAATCTATGGGGACAGGACATGCATGCATGGTTATCAGGGCTCCGGGATGAGGGTGATGAGACACCACTTAGTAACACACATGGGATTTCCTCTGAGATGGTAAAAGCAATCTGGATTTGGAAGCAATGGTTACAACATCATGAATATATTAAAGGTCACTGAACAGTGTACTTTAAAACAGTGGGCTTTATGTTATGTAAATTTTATTATAATTAAGAAAGAGAAGACAGGAGGTGGGCCACCCAGCCCTCATGACAGTGGGGCGCTTAGGGCTGAGTGCCCCTCCCTGAAGGCTTTCCTAGTTGCCAGCCCCTTCTCACAAGGCACCAGGCAGCCAGGTGCTGGGGAGGAGCGGAGCTCGGCCCGCACCCTCCCAGACCAGCACACTGCAAATCCCAGTGGGAACAGGCCCCATGAGTCTCCAGGACAAAGACCTATGTCCACCACCAGAGAGTGATGGCCAGTCCCGAATCACACTGCCCCAACAGCAAACTGGAATTGGAATCTGTGGATCTCCAATTCGTCCCAGGGTACCCATTGACCAGGACCCCTCTACCTGTCTTAATTATAAGGATGAGAAACCTATGGGTCAAAATTATAGAAGGAAAGAAAAAAGTAATACCAGTTGTCCCCACCCCCACCCCAGCAGACTTCTTGATGGTCACTGCCAAGAATCAGAACTCAAATAAGAATTCTAGATGACAACAGAAGCAGAAGCCCGGGCAGCAGTCAGAATCGCAGCCCATGGGTCCACGTGCATCCAGGGAGCAGAAAAAGCTGGCTGCCCCCGACACATCAGGAAAGACTGTAGGTCAGTGACAGGAATTATCACAGAACAAAGGCACTGACTTGGTTAGAGTGGGCAGATGGACACAGATGCCCAAAAACCAGGCTGAGAATGAAGACCAGTGGACCCAAGAGGCAGAGTAGAAGGTAGTGACCCTCCATCCTTACCTTCAGGAGGGGACACAGGTCACAGTTCCCACAGCATCTCTAGTAGATGTGCAGATAGAGATGGGAGATGGGACATCTTCTTCCACTCCACTCCATCCCTTGCCTCCTGCCAAAGATCCTCACCTCAGAAGCCTCAGAAATCCACTTCCAAACTTTAGGTGACAAAGGTGGGGTTCCTGGGGCCTCCTCTAGCTTTGCACGGAGGTAAGGAAGAACGGGGCCTTCTTAAGGGGACAGTCTGTGAGTATTCAAGAAGCAAATCAAATGGTCAGCCCCCAGCTAACCCCCACCCTGAAGGACAAGGCCCAGCTTCGCCAACTGACACAGCCACTAAGTCATTGGGGCAAATTACTCTCCTTCCCCTCATCCTCATTTATAAAGGGTCAAGTTGAACTGAATGATTTTTACAGGTTCTTCCATCACTGGGAATCTGTCTTCAAGGGTCCAAAACAATCTCCATCCATATTAACATAGACAGCATGACTGAACATGTTTTACAAAGAGCAAAATGTAAGCAAAAAATCTTTTTCCCAGGGGGAAAAATGTATGGTTAGCCTTCTGGGGACGATCTTGATGGCTCTTAACATTTGTTTTTTGTTTGTCTGTTTGTTTTGTCTTTCCTTCCCATTCGTATAATTTTCTTTTTTACTGAAATCACAAAATAGTCTCCAAAAATATCATGGTAATGACTGCATATATACCATGGTTCCTGGGCGCTCAGACTTCTCCCTACTATAAATATCACTGCCATGAACCCTATCCTAGTGCTGAAGGACTTTGCCTGTCTCCCATTTCCTCACAATTTACTCCCCAAGGTGAATTATGAAGTTGATGCATAAAATATTTTAAAGAGTCCGGCTTTGTCATCATGTTAGTTCCTAGGAAGATACAGTGGGCTCTACTGCTTTTCCTGGACCAGGAAGATGAAGTTGTCAGAGCTGCAGTTAGACTTCCGGACAGCAGTCCTGTCTCTCCTCCTCTCCCCAATCTTGATAGTAACCACCCAGCAAGAGGAAGGATAGAATTCCAAGTCAGAATAGAGGGCAGTGTCCCCAATGCTTGTGTCGAGGGCTTTGTAAGCTGAACTAAGTAGGGTTGTCCCCAGCTGTAAAATGGGAATGGTTTGCTCTGCTCTGCTTGCCACCCCCAGGAGCTCACTGGAAAGGTATATGTGAAATTCTCCGCAAACTGCAGTCATTTGTGTTACAGGGCACTACTAGTATCTATCCTGCCCTAACCTAGAGGCTTGAAGGAGAGGGTTGCTTCTTGTGAAGGCTTGCCTGGCTTTTTTTCCATCAAACAAGCCTAGGACATATGCATCTGGTTCTGAAGATGCTTCCCGCAGAGAATGAGCAGAGTCTGTGGCCTACAAAAGCCCAGCAGATCGCCCCGAAGGTACACAGCCTGGAATGGGGCCTAGGGTGCTGAATGGATGGCAGGGACGGAGGAACGCTCCTCTGATCCAAGGCTCCAGCCCTTCTTTCATAGGGTTCCAACTAGGTAGCTGGTCTTTGGCAGCACTAGAAAATCAAACTGTTTCCAGGGATGTAAAAGGTCAAGCAAGTGCTGTGGAGAACCCCAGAAGCCATCAGCCAGGAGAGGGCTGCCTCTTCAGGACCAGGTGTTTAATGCCCTCCCGCTGGTCATGCAACCAGTGTTTCCACCCCAATGCCTCCAACACGAAGTGCAGTCAAGGAGGCCGGGTAGGAGGTGACTCCCTGACACCTAGCTCCCCAAGCCTTCTCTATCCACCCAGCCAATGCCCTCACCACATCCGCGAGCTCCCTAGCCTGGCTGAAAGGGCTCCAAAGAGCTGCGCAAACCCCGCTACCCAGCGCCACCACCCCGCAACACAGGCAGCCCTCGCAGGGCCAGACGCGCTAGCTTCCCGGTTCCGGGAGCACCCAACAGGTGGCCCTGCCCGCCTCGCAGCGCACCGCCGGCTCCTGCCTGCGCCTGGTCCTCGTCCTCGGCCAGCGGCAGCGACGCCTACCTTTGAGGTTCTGGGGGTGGCCCCGCGGCGTCCGGTTCGGATTTCCGCGCGGCACAGACGAGACACTGGACGAGCTGTTACCCATGGCATCTGGCTCTAGGGGTCCTGCCGGCCGGGGTTCGAGCGGGCGAGGTGTGCAGGAGTGCGGCGGCGAGCGCGCGCCCCGCCGAGGGCCCTGCCCGGCCGGGTCGGGAGGCTGCGGGCGGGCGGCCGGGCTGCTCTCCCCGCCGCGGGCTCCGGGTCGCCGGCGGGTGCTGCCCGCAGCGGGGTCCTGCCCGCACCGGGTCCCGCGGCCGGGAGGCTACCTGCCCCCCATGCCCCACGGGCGGGCCCCGGGCTGCGCTCTCGCTCCCGCCGGCGCTCGGACTCCAGCGCGCTGCTCGTGGGCCATAGAGTCAGGGCCGCGCCGCCGGGAGGCCGACTGGGTCCCCGCCCGCGGGGATGGCGACGTGCGTGGCTCCCGGCCTCGGGCGGAGGCACATGGAGCGGGCGCGGGGTGTAGGGCGCCCCCGCGGGGTTTGGTCTCTGGGCCTCTCCTCCCCGCCCCCGCCCGCCGTCGCCAGGACTCCCTGGCTCCGGTTGCCATGGTGACAGCTGCGCCGGTGAATGAGAGTCTCAATGACACGCGCGCGCCCGCGCGTCCAGATGTGGTCCCGGGGCGTGCCGCGTTCCCAGCCGGCTCAGGTCCTGGGTGGCGCGGACCTGCCTGGGGCTGGGACTGAGCGGCTGGAAGACGGGGGTCGGCGTTGTCCCTAGCCCCAAATGGCACAGGGAAGGGTTCCAGAGGGGTAGGGCGTTGGGACAAAGGAACCCCGCGCTGACCACAGGCTCTGGGCAGATCCGAGGGCGCTGGAGCAGAGGCTCACGCGAAGGCCCAGCGCACCCACTGGGACTCGTGGCGCTGGAGGCCTTGAGATGCCCACAGACCAGAACCACGGGACTGGAGGAAGTGTGGCCAGTTATTCCCGGACAGAAGATGGACATCTAGAATATACAAAGCACTCCTGGGACACGGGCTACCGAGATGAACGGACATTCTCAGAAGTACAGACAGCTAGTAAGTACGTGGGGAACAAATGCTCATCACACTTGATTACCACAGAAACACACATTAAAACCACACTGAGTTCCATCTTACTCCAGAAAAAATGACCATCATCAAGAAATCAAATAATAACCAAAGCTGACAAGAGCAAAGGTGCCCTTCTGCTCTGCTGGTGAGAGTGTAGCTAGAACAACCACTGCAGAAAACAGTGTGGAGTCTGCTAAAGACTAAACATAGAAGCTCCATTTGACCCTTCTAGGGATCTTCTCAAAGAGTTAAAGTCCACGTATTATAGTAATACATGCTACCCTTGCTTACAAGGACACAATTTATGGTAGCAGAATCTTAGAGGCAGCTGATATTCCTGGAAAAACTGAGTCTTGGGCAGAGTAGGGAAGAGGCCTGGGCAAGCCAGCAGAGAAGCAGCCTGTGAGCTGAGTGGTTCTGTCAGCTGCTGGAGACTGACTGTGGCCTCTGTCAGTCACAAGGCCTTCCCGGGGAAAGGGCTGTGAAAGTGTCCTGGGCCCATGGCCCGTCCACCAGTATAACTCAAGGAGCCTGCAGGATGCCAACAGGAGATCATCCTCCTCCAGCCCAGATCTAACCCCAACCTTAACTTTCCAGTGTTTCAGGGGGAGAAGATACCACCACCCACCACCACTCCACCACCAGAGAACCAGCCTCCCTGGCCCTCTAGGCACCCCAAACACCCTGCTCTTGCCTCAGCAGCTCTGAGCCGGAGTCCATGAAGACATGAATGGGGCAGTGGCTGGATCACCTGTCCTATTCTAGATGTTCTTCCCCCACATCTGCTAGATCAGCTCCTCAGTGCTCTGGCCTAACTCAGACACTGACCCTCCTTGACCATCCCGACTGAAGGACCCCCCCACCACTCTTACCACTTTCCCTATAGTTATTCTGGTTTATTTTCTTCATAGCACATACACAAATTCATCTAAGAGTAGCCTCTCCCCACTTTTTCGCGTCTGTCTCTCCGCTAGACAGCACAAGGCCTGCAACAGGGAGTGAGCCAGTGGGTTCCTTCTGTCTTGTGCAGATGGCTGTATGTCCCTGCCTAAACCAGCAGGGGTCAGCCTGGTGCCTTCCAAGCCACCCCTTGGTCCCCTTCAGCCTCCACCCACAGCCCATTCCTGGCACCCGACTCTCACATGTCAGAGACCCAGGGTGGTCACAAATATCTGTGGCAGGAGCTCATGGAGTCTAGAGGGAAAGCCAGCCCCTGACCCTGGACACAAGCCCTCAGATGCCCGAGGTCACATGCCAGTCAGCTGCGGAATGGACACGGCAGTGTGTCAGGCTGAGGCCTGCTGTCTTATTTATGGGCAGTGTCCTCCCAGGGCTCAGTCCTAAATCATGACTCATGCACCAGCAATCCCAGGGCTCTGAATAGCAACACGATCACAATTTGCACACACACCATGCGCGTGTACTTTACTATGCAGTCTGCACCCTCCTTTCTATATCAGTACACTGCTGAGGCCCCTGGAATCTGCTAGAATGAAGTCACCAAGTGCGGCTGTCAGAATAAATGTGAGGACTCCTATAGAGGAGGCTAATCCAACTCGGGAGGGTGTGCTGGCAGGGGCCTTCCTAGTTTTTGGGGATGGTGACTCTTGCAGCTTCACATCCTTCCTAGAGGGTCCCTGAACCTGGACCCTCTAGGATCCTCTGCTCCTGGAAATACAGCCTCTGAGGCTTGGGCAGAGGGTGGGTGTGAGGCCCAAAGGTGGAGGACAGCAGGGATGTCTCACGTCTCCCTTGGCCTGAGCCTGGATCTGTGGACAAAGCAGGGAAAAGATGAAGGTCAAGGGAAAGGAGAGGGAAAGAGGGACTGAGGGCTCTCCTGAGGGCAGAGGCAGGCTGATTCCAGGGAGCCTCAAAGAAAGGGGCCAAGGCAGGGTGCTGAGCACAGTTCCTAGAGGGTTGCAGAGATCATGGGAGGATCACCAGGTCGAGGAAGGCATCCCTGGGGCAAAACTGAAGGAAATTCTCTCTCAGAGCCACGAAGGTGTCCTTTCACACCGGCACAGGCTGTGTCCTACCCTGGGCCTCTCCCCAGCCTCCCCCTGGCCTTCCCAGAGAGCACTGGATGAGAGGAAGGGGCCTCACTGTTAAGTGTCAACTGGGTGCAGATCCCTGGCCAGGCAGTGACCCAGCAGATGGCCGCACAGGACCCTGAGAGGCTGAGTCTGACTCCCAGAGGGTCCTGTGCTTCAGAAAGCTTCTCCTGCCAGGGGCTGTGGTTCCACCCAGCTCCGAGGATCAAAGCTCACCAGTAACCTGTCCCCCAGAGCAGGTGCTGGGCAGAGCCCTGAGGCTTCCTACCCACTCTCCAGCACAGCAGCTGCCAGGCAGCAGAGAGGCCGCCCTGGATGGAGAGACAGAGAACCTGCCTGAGAGCTGGGGTCAGATGAAGTCACTATTTTGGTGCCTTCGAGATGTAAGCTATGAATACACACAAGGTGAGTGCTCGGGTACCTGTCACCATGGCAACCTCACTCCCAGCACTGTGGATTCTGAGGGTGGAGTCATTCTCTGTGTGTGTGTATGAGAGAGAGAGAGAGAGAGAGAGAGAGAGAGAGAGAGAGAGAGAGAGACAGAGACAGAGACAGAGAGACAGAGACAGAGAGATGGGGGTGGACCCCAGAAGTGCCAAGAATTCCCTCAGCCACAGCTCTGGCCCCCACCTGCCTTTCCACACCCCATCAGTCTCCCCTCTGGCTGGCTCCTCCTCTGCCATCTCCCTCTGCTCGCCTCCCTCTCTCCACCTTGTCTCCCTTCTCCCTGCCCTTCTTTGTCAGCTTCTCCCTCCCCTCCACGTTAGCCTTTGACCCTGTGCCCCTCTCCCCTTCCTCTCTTCTCTCCCCTTCTTCTCTTCTCTTCCCACCACTGCCACCCAAACCAGTTCAAGGCTTGAAGTCTTGTCTTAGCCATATGACTCAGAGTATTAGGTGGAGGGTCGGCTTCCTCCCTTCTCCGAGACACCATGCTGAGCCCAGAACGGTCCTAGTCAGCAGAACGACACCTCCTTCCCTGGAGAAGAGCAGCCGTGGGCATCCCAGCTAGGGGCACATGGCTGCCCTGGTGTCTGGCGAGGCCCAGCCACAGGCCATCAGGGTATCAGAAACCAAGTGGGCGATCATCCTGCCAGAGCTCTGGGGCTTGGCAGCACGTCGGAGGTGACACCCACATGCCTGCGGCACTGAAACTAAACCCATGAGTAAAACCAAATGAATTAATCTATACCAGTGCAGACAGAGCGCTTTGGGGACCAGCCTAAGCTGTTAATCCCCTTCTCGAAAGGCCCCTTCCCACAAAATGTCCAAGGGCTGGAATTCCGCACCACCCCCTTTAACGTGGAGTGGGCGCCTCATTCTTCTTCCCAGGTCTTTCAGGTTCACTTACTGCACCTGACTGGCCAGTAACAGCGCCAACCACATGCCTGGCCCTGGGCGGGGTGCATTCCCCTGCACACAGCACCGGGAGCCTGACCTGTGCTGCTGGGTACCCCGGTCCCAGTTCCCCCACTCCCAGGCCTAAAGCAGGGCTGAGCACACAGGAGCCCTCATTGAATGTGCTCACGGAGCCAGGCATCGGCATAACTTTGTAAGCTGTGAGCCCCTAGCAGGGAGAAGATGTCCGCGCTTATCACCCTGCATGCTCCTGTGTCCACACTGTGTGAACACACACTACGTGAACAAATGAGAATAAGGGACGGATCCCTCTCCGGGACTGCATTCTGCAGGCTCATCCTTCTTACTCCTAGGTGTGAGTCAGAATCACCCAGAGGAGCTTGGGGAGAGGGGAGGTCACTCTTGTGCAGGTCCCTGGGTCTCCCTCATGCCATTCTGCCTTGGGAGAGTCGGATACAGGGCATCGAGCTTGCAGCTTGGGAAAGGGCTCTGTCACATGTCACATCAGGGAAGGCTGGGCTTAAAGAAGACCTGAGGCTTCCCCGGAGAACATGGGGAACTAAGCCAGTGTGGACCATCACCCCAGCAAGGCCAGCACCTAGCCAGAGGTGAAGCTCCTTTTCTCTGTTCCGTGGACACACTGGTCCTCTGGGAACCAGCCCCTTGATCCAAGATCAATTGTGAGATCTTCATGGACCCCAAACTCTTATCATTGGGCCTCACACACATCCAGTCAACTATACTAAAACACACCACCTCCCACACGAGGCAAGACGTAATTTTCCTGCCCTAAATATTTTGAAAGGATTTTTTTTACAAAATTGGCTCTTGCTATCATTGGACTACAAGGAACTCAGTGAAATTTACAACTGGTTTTATTTCTAAGCAATCATGCATGTGTTAGATTCCTTGCCAAGTGAGAAAAACCTATGAATGTCTTCAAATATAATGAAATCTTTATGAGTACTATATTTAATGATTAATAAAATTGATACAATGTTAAATTTTATAGGCACTGAACCTGAGCATCTCTTAATTTTTATTTTGAAGTTTTCCTTTTATAATTCAGAGCCAGTTACAGTTTTTTCCAGTCTGAAACCCTTAAAAAGCTTATACACTTATTCCAGATGTGGTGGTGCATGCCTGCAATGCAAGAGCTGAGGAGGCTGGAGCAAGAAGACTGCCAAAGATCAAGGCCAGCCTGAGCTGCATAGAGTTCAAGGCCAGCCTGCAACAAAAGGCAAGACCCTGTCTCAAAAAACAATAAACAGTCAGGTGTAGTGCTGCATGCTTGTAACCCTAGCACTCTGGCAGCTGAGGCAGGAGGATCACTATGAGTTTGAGGCCAGCTTGGGCTACAAAATGAGTTCAAGGCCAGCCTGAACTGCAGTGAGACCCTTCCCAAAAAGACAAAAAACAAACACACAAATTCTATATACACTTAGCTGGCACATTGGTGCACACCTGTAATCCCAGCTACTTGGAAGGCTAAAACAGGAGGATTACAAATTTGAAGCCAGCCTAGGCAATTTACTAAGATCCTGTCTCAAAGAAAAAAAGAAAGACTAGACAGAGGTGTGGTGGCACAAGTCTGTAATTCCAATACTCTGGGAAGCTCAGGGAGGAAGAGCACAAATTTGGGCCCCACCTGGGCAATATAGTAAGACCCTGCCTTGCTAAAATTAAAAATTAAAAATGGCTAGGAGTACAGCTCAGTGCAAAAGATCAGTGCAAAAATTCAATCTCCTGGGGGCTGGGGATTTAGCTCAGCGGCATAAGCATCTGCCTTGCAAGCAGGCAGTCGTGAGTTCGATCCCCAGTACCAATAAAAAAGAAAAAGACAAAAAAAAAAAAAATTCAATCTCCAGTACTGCAAAAAGTAAAGGGGATGTAGCTTAGTGTTAGAGCACTGGGTTCAAGCCTCAGTACAAACAGCCCTGCCCCAAGGCACTAGACCTAAATACTGGACCTACAATGCCTCTAAGTCCAAGGCCAGGCTTTCCCACGGTGGCATCTGAAAGGACATATGTAGGTCCCTGCAAGATGCAGAAAGGAAGAGGTCTAATGCCAGAAAGAGGATAATTTGTGTCATGACTTCTTTTTTTTTTTTTTTTTTTTTTTGTCTTTTTCGTTTTTATCAGTACCAGGGATCGAACTCATGACTGCCTGCTTGCAAGGCAGACACTTATGCTGCTGAGCTAAATCTCCAGCCCCCTTCATGACTTCAAAGTCCAGCATCCAGTGACCCATCCCAGGGCTACTGCTCGGATAATTGTGGCCGGTGGCCTTCATGAAGCCCTCACTCATAGGCACCAGGCCAAGACATGTAGGTCTAGAAGCAGCCCAGCGGGTAGGGGCTGTTACTCTTTGCTGCTGCTCCTTTTCCCATTTGAAAATCCTTAGGTGTAGGGAAGCAGAGTTGCTTTCCAAGGTGGCAAGCCAACAGCAGAGCTCTGGCTCTTGATGTTCTGAGCCCAGGCTTCCCCTACAGGCCAGGCTGGGATTCCTCAGGGTCCCCAGTCTGAGAGAGACAGCTGTTGCAGGTTGGTCTCCACCCTGAGCTCCTGAGCCAGCCCCTCCCTGCTGAGACATCCTTCGGACACCCCAGGGCCGTGCAGGTAGCTGGGCTGTCTGGAGTTTAGCCAGGGAGCCTTCTGCTGCTCATGAACACAGAACAGAACTTTTCTTTTTTAAGGTGCTGACAAAGTTGATTAGAAAAAGTAAAAGTCAAGGGTGAGGAAGAAACTGGCTCTGCAGCCAAGAGCTCAGGACAAGCAAGATAAAGTCTTCCCTGGAGGAAGCAGGGCAGGCCACCGGGAGGAAGGCCATGCTAGCACACAGAACAGAGTTCACTGACAGCACAGAAAGACCTCCAGATGGCAGCAATGGCCCCGAGTGTTTTCTAGCAGCCTCCTCAGTGTTTTCTAGCAGCCTTTACTTGGCAGGAAACTCTCCCACGATGTTACGAAGACCAGAGAATTATAAAGGCGAAACAAGAGAAATACAGCTACATAGAGATGCAAGAAATGAAAGGTGGAGCCAGGTTATGCCTCTCCAATCAGCCTTAATTCACATCAAATACCCTTCAGGAACAGAGCTGGGAATCGAGTTCCTCTAGGCACAGCCTGCCTTTCCCCAGAGGGTAGGAGCGCCTCTCACCTCAGAGAGTGAAACAGGGGTCCTTGGGGTCCCTCTGCCCTCCATCCCCTCTCGGTTCTGTCTCCAGCCACCACCTGGTAGTGCTAGAGTGCTGTGAGAGGCGCCTTTGCCTCTGGCAAACTTTCAGGGGGGGTCCTCCAGCCAATCAACACACCTGAGCAAGGGTTTGGGGTTCTTCTCCCTATAAAATGCAAACGGCTTTGGGGGTGGGGGGTGCATCTGCCTCTGGGGAGAATCCAGAGTTACATGATCACTACCGGAACATTTCAAATTTTGCTTAAGTGTCTTGGCACATATCCCACAAAAGCCCCATCCACTGCTCTCTGAAAGCGCTGGCACAGGACAGCGGCTCTCCCTGAGCCCCCAGCACTGGGCATCATCAGCATGCTAGTTTCCAACCACTGGGTTCCTTCAGAACTGCCCTCACCTGTTGGTTCCTGTCTGTGTTGAATGTTGAATGAGGGGCAGAATCTCTGCAGGATTTCTGGGCGCCTGTCTTTCTCCTTCACCGATTCAGTCTCCACCTGCTTCTTTCTGGAGGATCATTCACCTTCTGAAATGATTCACATGAACCTTCTGCAAAATAGGGAAATGGCTTTTGTGTGGTGTGGGTGTGGCAAATACATCTTTACCCGTTTATTATTTTTATTTTCATTGGGATTTTTTTTACTCACAGACATTTCTAGTTTTTATAAGGCTGTGTTACCCTTGTCTCCACAGTCCATCTGATCATAGCCTCTGACATAAGTAAATCCACCTACATTTTCTTGTCAAATTTTTTATTGTTTTGTTTTGTTTCGAGTGAATCCATTGGTTAGTCTTTCTTTTGTGACAGTGCCTCACTATTTAACTAAGGCTGGTCTTGAACTCCTAACCCTTCCACCTGAGCCCCTCCACGTGCTGGGATTAAATGTGGGCATTGCCCTGCCTAGCTTCCTGTCTAATTTTCACGATTCACAATTTTATGTTTGGATCTTTGAACCACACAGAGCTTATGCAGCTATAAAGAATGAAGTGGTTATCTTGTTCCTGGGTGCTTATCCAGCTGTTCCACGGCTATTGGTTCCAGGGCCCCTTCCAGTGTCACCTTCCCCCAGGTCTGTCACGACCAGGAAGGCCTCTGTCCTCAGGGTAGCAGAGAATCAGGTCACACAGAGCCAGGGAGGGCCCTGCTGCCCAACTAGTGGAGAGGAAACAGCGGTCTCCCAGTCCTGGGACAGAAGCGGGAGGAAGAGTAAAAAGAAACCTCAGCGGAAAGCACAGCATTTATATACAAAACACTAACACAAACACACGTGTTTGTGAATACGAGCACACTATATGCACACAGGAACGCAGCATACCCTGTGCGCACGCGCACGCAGGCATCACTCGCATGAGATGCGCTCATCTCTCCAGTAGGGGGTGCCCTGTCTTAGTAACAAGAGTTCCTCCAATGGCAAAGCTGCGGCTCTCAAATAATACCCAGATTCCTTTTATGAGATTGACACGCTGCCTACTGCACTAAGAAGGCAGAGCTAGACTCCTTTTAAAGCAAGACGAAAAACTCTAGAAGACACCCATCCACAAGAATGTATCTGCAACTCTCCAAGAAAAAACAAAGATAAAACCTAAAGACTGATTCTATGAAAATCTAATTCCAAGTTGATGCATATTTACAGCTGGTTCCAAAAAAACTTTTTAGTAATCATTAAAAAGAAGCTGTGAGCTGGGCATGGGGGTACACGCCTATAATCCTAGCACTGGCTCGACTGAGGCAGGAGGGCAGGCCAGCCTGAGCTAGTTCATAGCAAGACCCCACACCCCACAGCCCAAAAAGAAAGAGAAAAGGTAACAGCTGCAGTAGACACGACTAAGAAGTGCTTGCCTGGCATCCGTGAGGCCCTGGACTTGATCCCCAGTGCTGCCACAAAGGGATAAGTGTGAATTGAAAACCTTTTCTCCAACTATGGTGGCACATGGCTGTGGGCCTGGCTCCTTGGGAGGCTGAGGCAGGAGGAGCACTTGAGCCCAGGGGTTTGATGCCAGCCCAGGCAACCTAGCCCTGTCTTATGAAATACAAAGGATATACTTGGGGTGATCTGAGTAAACTATAGGTTCAATGACGGGAAAAGTCCTGTTGCAGGTGCTAGAATCTTTCCCACAGCAGGAGGCACCAAGAGACCAGTGTGATGTCTGCTTAGGAGAAGGAACAGTGGTCTCTGAAGTCACAGGCAGGGCTTAGCCTTGCCGAGAACTCCAGGCAGCTCCTCCAACCCCAGCCAGGACCCTGGCCTGCGCTTGGAAAGACACACACCACTGCACATGCAGTGCCAGGGAAACAACGATGCAGACTCCAGTTTCCAAATGCTGTGCAAGAACGTGCGAGTGTGGAGGACGGCGGACCAGCATAATGGCTGGGCAGAGCTGGGCAGGGTCGGGGGTCAGGGCCGAGTCCCATGCGAGATAGATCAGAGGATGCTCATCCAGAGAGACCAGAGGACAGCAGGAGGCACAGATAACCATGAGGACCCAGCCCTAGGAAGGAATGACATCGCTGATCCAGGCAGCTAATAGGGCCAGGCTGGGGCTCAGAGGCAGGATGGCAGCTGGCCCTGCCTGCATGAGGAGGGCCAGTAGGAGCCCAGGCGCTGGGCTCTGAGGTTGTGCTCAGCCTGTGGCGGTGCTGGACTAGATGTGAGGGAGTTGCAGAGAAGAAGGTGGGGAAGGAGTCTGGGTGGGTGGGGCCTGGATCCTGTACTCTGATCTATATCCTCTCATCCAGGCCCAGGGGACTTGTGACACCACAAGAGACCTGGGCTGCTCTGGAACCAAGGCTGCTCTGCTCTTCCCCAGGCCAGGCACCCAACGTCAAGGATGGGGTCAGGTGACAGCGGCACTAGGAGGGAGAGACAGGACACAGAGGGGCAGAGACAGGCAGAGAGATGCCAAGACTCAACAGGAACACAGGAAGACACACAGCAAGGCAGAATCAGTGAGGCAGAGGGAAAGACTGAGACAGGGAAGGACAGAGGGAGACGGAGACAGAGAACTTGAAGGCAAGGCCTGCAGCCAACTCACTCAGTTCCCGGGAGGAGAGGTGAGAGGAGGGTACAGGTCAGGTGAGAGCCGACAGGGCTAGGGATGAAACAGGGGTGTCCGCACATCGGCATCATGAGAACCAAGAGCAGCTATCCAAGGTGCAGGCTTGGGCCCCACCCATACATGGGAGGACGTCCCAGTTGGAGCAGCTGTTCCAGGGCCTCCTGCAGAGCCAGGTCACCTGGGGCCCTTGCACCACCTCCTGGACAGCAGGTGGGAGGGAGATCGAAGGTCAGGGGTGGAGGTGGCGGCATCTGCAGAGCAGTCAAGATGGGGAGACACTAATCACAGTCAGGAGGGCCTTGAACCCCAAGCTCAGAGGCTGTGAAAGGCCAGGCCAACTGGAGCAGAGAGGTGTGATTTAGGAACTGTGTTAGGGGGGGACCTGGGCCAGGCATAGGCAGCCCCACAGGAAAGTGGAATGACATGGAGAGAGGGAAGGGTTGCAGACTCCCAGGAGCCTATCCAAAGCCTTCCTGGTTGCTGTTGAGCACTTCGGCCTCCTTGCTTTTGCCGGGCAGCTCCCCCACCTGACTGTCCCTGGCCCACTTCACACTCATGGGGACACTGAGCTCGAGTTGTGCTCACCACTGTTCCCAGGGCCACCTCTTCCTAAAGCCTCCAGGCAGGCACATGTACCCCTCCAGCTTCTGCTTGGCCTAGAGGCCCACAGGAACTCTCTGGGGCCCAACTGAGTCAAGTCATAGTTTTGACCCAGACCAGAAAACACGACTGGCTCCCTGGTCTCTGCCTTACCACACCCAGAATTTGCCTGTGCTCTGAGAGAAGCACACAGCTGTCAGGGTGAGTATCCAAAGTATGGGAGGAGCAGGCGGGGAGGGTGGAGGACAGGATGCTCATTTCCCTAGGGGTGCTTTGGGTGCCTGGTCACAGGGTGAAAAGGAGGGCGTGGTGTAGGGATGCTTGCTTAGGAAGAGCCACCTGTGTCCGAACTCCTCAGCTAGACACTGGAGGCCAGGCTGGGGGCTGGACACAACTTCCCCTGGGCTTCTCAGGCTCTCAAAAAGGAGAGAGTGGCTCCCGGGGAGCCTGGGCCCCGAGTCCCGGGCCATGGACAGGTTCCGTGCACTCTTCCAGCACTTCCAGTCCAGCTCGGAGTCGGTGACCAACGGGCTGTGCCTGCTGCTGGTCGGGCTCACCATCAAGCTCTATTCCTCTTTCGACTTCAACTGCCCCTGCCTGGCGCACTACAACACTCTCTACGGCCTGGGCCTGCTGCTTATGCCTCCGCTCGCCCTCTTCCTCTGTGGCCTCCTGGTCAACCGGCAGTCCGTGGTGATGGTGGAAGAGTGGCTCCGGCCAGTGGGGCATCGCAGGAAGGACGCAGGCATCATCAGGTGCAGTCCACACCCGGGGTGACCTGGTCCATGGCCTGGCCCATGGTGCTTTCTGCTCCTCTCTCTTCCCCAAGTGGGAATCATTATGTATGTCCTCAGGGACATACATATGTCCCTGTTCTTGGTCACCTCTTCATGGCCAGTGCTGAAAGTGTGCTGACACAAGGTCCCAAGACACATCTGTCCTGCTGACCATGGATTATAAGCTGACCTATGCATCAAGGGCCCTGGCAGAATTTCCCATAGTAAGAGGCAATGGTTTGCTTAGGGGGCATCTCCTCCCCCACAACCTCCCCAAGGGCAAGAGCCACACCTGTGCCCTTCTCTCCCACCCTGTGTCCTGAGGGCCTGGCACGCAGATGGCACCCCTTACCCATGCCAGCTGATGGAGCCCATCATGCTCGAGAGCTCCGAGCTTGCTCTCCTGAGTGAACTGAGCTGCATCTTCTCCCCAGCCCCAGGCTGCTCCCCAGTGGGATCCATTTTTGTTTTTGTTTTTGTTTTGTTTTGTTTTTTGTGGTACTGGGGATCGAACTCATGACCTTGTACTTACCAAGCAGAAACTTTTGCCACTGAGCTAAATCCCCAGCCCTCCATTGGGATCCACTTTTAAGGGAGGAGCTGGAGGCACTGAGCAGTGCAGTGACTTGGCCCTATCTTCCAGCCAGGGCAGGCTGACCCCGCCCCCCTCTCTGCTCCCAGGTTCATGTGCTCCTCCGTGCTGCAGAGAGCGCTGGCTGCGCCCCTGGTCTGGATCCTGCTGGCCCTCCTGGATGGCAAGTGCTTGGTGTGCGCCTTCAGCAACTCTGTGGACCCCGAGAAGTTTCTAGACTTGGCCAACATGACGCCCAGCCAGGTGCAGCTGTTCCTGGCCAAGGTTCCTTGCAAGGAGGATGAGCTGGTCAGGGATAGCCCTGCCCGGAAGGCTGTGTCTCGTTACCTGCGGTGCCTGTCCCAGGTAATGGGGGGGGTCCTCCCACAGCCCTGCACCCTCACCAGAGTCCTGCACCAGCTGGGAGGAGGGATTGGACCAGGTCCTTGTGATTTCCTGCAGTCTCTCCTCTCTGCTGGAGACAGAACCAAAGAGCAGGAAGTTCAGGGATGAGGCCAGGGCAGGACAGTGGCTCCTCCTAGGAAGTGGGCACAGACAGGGTCCTCAATACAGATTCATCCAGGATGGCCCCAGTACTGGCACCACTTGGGACACAGCCAAGCCCATCCACAGGAAGCTAGCTTTAGGAAAGCTCTGGAGCTCATTCATGGCATGAGAGAGAGAACAGGGGTAGTGTACACACTGCCCAGGTCCCTCCAGCTTTTAGGATAGTGAAGTGGGCAGGCTGGAGGGACCTGGGCAGTATGTACACTACCCCTGTTCTCTCTCTCATGCCATGAATGAGCCTCCAGAGCTTTCCTGCTGCTAGCTTCCTGTGGATGGGCTCTGGGAGCGGTGGTGATGGGCCCATTCGACCCTGGATTCCATCACCACCACTCCCAGAGCCCATGCTAGGCTGGGTGTGTGGAAGAGCATGTGTGAGAGCAGGTGTGATGGTACCAACCTGTAATCCCAGCACTCAGGAGGCAGAGGCAGGAGAATCACCATAAATTCGAGGTCAATTGGCTGTATAGTGTGTTCAAGGACAGCCTGAACTATCCTGGCTCAAAAAAACTTTTAAAAAAGAACACCATGTGAACCTGTTGCCTGTAGAGCAGATGAGGACTGAGGGAGGTCACGAACACAAGCCTTGCCATTCAGTAGAGACGAAGAGGCACATAGCAAACACAGATCTGCAGTGTGGAGAGAGGACCAGCACTTGAGATCCACTTGATTTGGGTTCAGACAGCGACCCCGGCTGTGGCACTGGGCCCCTGCACTCCAGTTTCTCCTTCAAAACAAAGGAGATAGGCTTCCTCCTCCCACATGCCACTCCTCCTTCCATAGTATAAGTGTAGAAAGCAGCACTGTCGGCACAAGCTTTGATCCAACTCTGCTGTGATCTGCGGTCAAGCCTGGCAAGTGCTTTGCTGTCCACTCCCTGTGTGTGAAATACTCACCTTGAGTTTGAGGCGGGAGGGCCCTGCATAAGGTCAAATGCTATGCTCCATAAATCCAGGGCATCGCCCCTATAAATGCAGGGGACACCAGCTCCAGGTAACACAGGGCTCCAGGCCACAAGCTGCACAGGCAGCCCTGGCACAGAGAGCCGGGAGCGCTTGCTCTGCCTGCTGCAGGCCCAGCCCCAGATGCCCACGTCTTGGATCTGGAACGCCCGTCTCTGCTTTCTGTTCCTGGCACATAGCATCCCACACTCACGGCAGGGGTAGGCACATGAGTGGGCAGTATGAAAAGGCAGAAAAGAGGATGAGCACACGGATCGATCGTGGGGAAATACAGGGAAGGAAGGGTGGAAGGAAGGAGGCATGGACACACAGGAGGAGAGGCGGGTGGCTTGAGAGGAGGGTGGATGGGCAGGCAGGAGAATGGCAGGCGAAGGATGGTGGACCTGAGTCAGAGGACAGGGCGAGGAGGAGAACAGAGGGCCACCCCTGTCACACAGTGCCCCCACCTGCCTCCTCACTACTCAGGCCATCGGCTGGAGCTTCACCCTGCTGCTGATCGTGGCCGCCTTCCTGGCCCGCTGCCTGAGGCCCTGCTTCGACCAGACAGTCTTCCTGCAGCGCAGGTATTGGAGCAACTACGTGGACCTGGAGCAGAAGCTCTTCGACGAGACCTGCTGCGAGCATGCGCGGGACTTCGCACACCGCTGCGTGCTGCACTTCTTCGCCAGCATGCGGGGTGAGCTGCAGGCCTGGGGGCTGCGCCGAGACCCCGTGAGTCTGTGTCCTGAGCCTGCTGAGCCCCCTGAGCCCCCAGAGGACCCAGAGGATCCAGATGGCAGGTGCAGGAAGACCCACCTGCGTGCAGTCTGCAGCCGGGAACAGGTGGACAGCCTCCTGAGCAGCTGGTACTGCAGCAAGCCACCACTGGATCTCACGGTCTCCCCTGGCCTTTGGGGGGCAGGCCTTAGCCATCGCACCCCTGTGGTGACCTCAGGGACTGAGCTCTTCCAGCACACAGATGTGTAGGCCCCCTGCTGGGCTGGACATGGGCAGTGCCTGGTGTTCAGTGGAACCCTGCCAGTAGCCTGCCTTGCTGGCCTGCTTCCCAAAGAGCCTGGTCTCTGTCTAGTTTCTACTTGTGGCTTCCTGGGTGCTCCACAGTCTTGGGTGCACACAGTTCCCCTGGGGCTCTCATCGAGTTTGGTTTGACTCAGAGCATGCGGGTTTGGGCCCTACACCCTCACCTCTAACCCTGGGTAGTAAGGATGCTTCTGGTCAGCAGACCAAACTTTAAAGTAGAAGAGACTACATAGATCTGTTGTGGTTTCTGGGTCCTAAATGATTCTAAATAATAAAGGCAGTCATAAGAGCAGAACATGCTTCTACAATGCCTACCTACATATTTTCATTCAATCCCCACAGTAAACTAAGGAAGGAGGCATGATTCTTAGCGTGTGTGTGTGTGTGTGTGTGTGTGTGTGTGTGTGTGTGTGTGTTGCTAGGGAATAAGCCCAGGGCCTCACAGATGCTAGGCAAGCACTTTACCACTGAGCTTCTTTCCCAGTCCTTTTTAATTTAATTTAACTAATTTAATTTATTTGAGCCAGGTCTTGAAAAGTTACCCAGAATGATCTCAAACTTGTGATCCTTCCACCTCAGCCTCCTGAGTAGCTGGAATTGCAGGCGTGCACCCCTGGGCCAGAACAGCCCCATTTTTTTTTGTCTTTTTCATTTTATTAGTACCAGGGATCAAACTTACGACTGCCTGCTTGCAAGGCAAGCGCTTATGCCGCTGAGCTAAATCCCCAGTCCCCAGCCCCATTTTTTAGAAGAGAAAAATAAGCCATAAGGAGGCTAAGATGCAGCGTCACCTAGAATTGGATCCAAGGCCTGGCTCTGGCGTCTGTGCTCAGCTGCCGCCTAACTCTGGCTTCAGGATCATTCTGAGGATTTGTTTTTAGTACCCTTACTGGGTTTCCTGCAGCTTCTACCAAGGTGCTCAAGCTTGGCTCAAGTTTCCCATGAAAACTAGTTGGTGTCTCTTGCTGGCCACTCTAGTTGAACAGTTTGTATATTTCTGATGAATGCATGTTTCTGTGTTCTGTGTCCAGGGGGCTGAGCTTCCCGGCTCCCCCTTCCCATTTCCCACCAGTTCTCTTCCTAGCCTCACCTGGCCTCCTGCTCAGCCCAGCCTCCTACCCACCTGAAGCCAGCATTGTGTCTCCACTCACCACAGTGCCTACAGCTTGCCACCTGACTCCTGAGCTCAACACAGTCCCTTCCTAAGACTACCCACTGCCCTGTCTTAATTCTTTTTCTCATTGTTGAGGTGAAATACCTGACACCCAAAGCTAAAGGGGGAAAGGTTTATTTAGCTTACAATGTGTAAAGGTTTCAGTCCATAAGTGGCTGGCTCCAAGGCAGCCTGGCTTGGCAGAGGGGCTTCACAGCAGAGGAGAACCAGCTCATGGCAGGCAGAAGACAGCAAAAGCAAGCAAGGGACAAGACAAGCTTCTGTTTGTCCCTTATGTTGTATCCAGGCTACCAGGATTAGAGTGTGCCAAATAAATCAGTGGCCTGATTCAGTAATTGCCCATCCTAATCCTAGCATCCTTAATTCTAACTTTGTACCATAAATCAACCACATACTCTAAATCCAGCCATCTCAGAAAAAAGCTCTACCTATAATCACTTTAGGGTGACATCTAGACACAAGCCATAATAGCAGCCCAGGGGTCCCAGTGAGAAAATGGCACCCTGGTGAGGATTTCTCAAGAACCAGGAATGGGCTTGGCATTCAGCTCAGGGAAAAAAAGTCCTGTCACCAGACAAGATCTGAGATGGTCCTCCTAGAGAGGAGATAGGCAACTCAACATGGCCCAGCAGGCTCTTCAAGTATCATTGCAAAAGCATTTTGGGATGTAACAGTGAGAGGCATCGTCTGATTTACATACAAGACAGATCTGGAAAGGAAGAGAAAACAGGGAGGAACTTCAGCTTGGGCTGTGAAGGGGCACTCTTTTGATGGAGGTCAGACTGGCCTGTCAACAAAGGAATGAGGCTAGTTCTTACAGAGTGGCCGAGGGTGGGTTGGAGCCTAGTTGGTCATTATCTCAATTCTGATTCTGCTTATATCAGGTAGAGGTACAAATTCTCTGTGGTGCATGTGGTCATTATGTATATGTACCAATGCTATCTGATTTAAAAGAAAATCCTGGTGTTGCAAGGTGGCTGGGAAACAGTCCTTATCACTTAACAAGCCAATCTGATGATATCCTTCAAGTGACTGTCTGTTAGGACGGTGTCAGTTTTGCAGACGCTGTCCTGAAATCCAAGGTGGCCATAGGTTTAGGGCAATGGCTGGAGACTTCTGGGTGCACAGGGATGAGAGAACATCCCTGTAAACATCATCTCTTGATATCTTTATTCTGGAAGGTTGGTGATATAAGCAGTGTAAATTCAGGGCTGGTCGACTTTGAATGGCCAGTTTCAGACAGACAGACCCTAACTGATTAACATGCCTGTACACACTGCAGAGCGAGGTCTGGCCCACACGGGAGGCACACACCAAATGTGGTCAAGCTTTGTTCTGCTTTTCCTTCCCCAATGGGCATTTGTAGGCCCCAGTGAACAGTCACAGGTTTCAGAGTACTTTTGCTTCTTTAGCAGAAGCAGCTTTTAAACTCCTGATGGCCTCAGAAGAAAGTAGAGCTAATGTTTTTAATGAGTAACAGGTGAAAGGCCGGCGTGTGCCTGCCCTCTGTCCTTCTGGACTGTCTTCTCCCCTGAACCACCGAGTTTAGATCTTCTGGGAAATCAGCTGCTTTTGTCTGCAGCCCAACAGGAAGAGTTCAGGGGGGAGCTGGGCAATTCTGAGCCTCTACCCCTCCCTGATGACTCACTGCCTACACACACACACACACACACACACATTCACACACCCGCATCACTAGTTCCATCAGCATTTGGCCACAGATGGGCTTTGCTACTTCCTTGGGGCTCTGAGGGCAGTTCCCTGGACCACTGACCATGGAAGCCTTCCCTGGAGCCAGCCCCCTCTATCAGGCCATGTCTGCTCTCCTGAATTCTTGCCATGGGACTTCGTAAGACCAGAAAGTCTCTGCCACCCCGCCTCCCAGCTGTGGTCAGGCCATGCAAATGTCTGAAACAGCACTGGGGTACAGAGCAAAGTAGGCAAATTGTTTGCAGAGATGGAAGGCAGGGTGGAGAGAGACTGAGAGAGGGCCCAGGCTGCACACCTGAGCTCCCAGCCTGGGTAAGGAGCCATGGGCACCCTGCCTTGGGTTCCAAGCAAGCAAAACATGCACTTAAAGAAGCCAACTGCACTCAATACACTTGCCCTCCCCTGATCATCCAGAGAGCGCTTATCGCTCAGAGAGCACTGTATGGGGGGAGTAGAAAGAGAAATCACGGTGTCCCACCCTGCCCGTCAGGCCCGCCTTGTCTATCAGGGGCAGTGGTGGGCACAACAGCGCTGCTGACCCAAAGCCAGTGGTGTGATACAGCAACAGCAAGCTAGAGTCGCAGGGTTCTGCAGGGAGAAGGCTCCACGTCATGCAGCCTTGGCAGCTGCAGCCCCTGCCTCTACCAGGTCCACAGGCGCAGGAAGATCATGGAAACCTCGAAAGGACTGTGACTTTGTCCTATAGGCAGGGATGACTCAGGCGGCCAATTCCCCATTAGTCCTCATGGAGTGAGTTCTAGGTGCCTGAGGTCTGACCGGCATGGGATCCTCACCACGCGTGGGCTTTCTCCACTGTCCTAGGCACTCCCGTCCCTTCCAGGGTTTCCTGGGGGCGTCTTCCATGTACACAGCTATCCTCCCACCCTTGTCCCAGGCCTTACTCCTGGGGACACAAGACAGGAGAGCCTGTCATTGGGGACCCAGGTGGCTTCATAGAGGGGAGCCTTCCCACCACCATGTCACACTGGGCTGGCCACTGCTGCTTTGCTTTGCTGTGTTCCTGTCCAGCCTGACTAATGCAGTGTACATTTTGAGCAGGACACTTGGCAAGCAGCACTATTGGTCTCAACAATATGCTGGTGTGGCAGACAGGGGTCACCTCTATCCTCTGGGTAAAGTTTGTGGCCCTGGGATTGTGCATGATGCCTAGTGGCAGAGCACATGTTCAGCATGAACAAGGCCCCGGACGCCACATGCAACACCACAGTGAAGTCCTCGTGCTTCCGGTGACACAGCCTGATGGCCCTCAGCTTCCTGGGAAGCTCTGTCCATGCTGGTCCTGCCCCATCGTCCACGCTCTGATGCTCTGCTCATGTGGGTGACACACATTGCCGCTCCTCTCTGCAGAGTGGTCATCTCCCTCAAGTCATCTTCCTCCCAGCGGGCACCTGCACGGCCTAATACAGGGGCTCCACACATGCCAAAGTCTGCCACACAGCTGGTTGCTGTTGCCATTACAGCATTCTGGGCCCATGTGCCAGGGGCTCACTGCACACCAGCCCTGTGATGAGTTCTTCACCTGTGTCACCTCGTCCCGGCCACCTATAGAGCCCATGAGTCTCTGCAGGTCATAGAGGGGAGGCTGAGGCGCTCTGGCGAAGGCTGGAAGTCCTGGGCCAGCATGGGGCAGGGTTGAGATTTCAACCCCCATTGCTGCTTAGATGTTCTTGACTGTCAAGGCCCACAGCAGACACAAAAGACGGCAGGGAGGAGCTGGCCTCCAGGCAGGGCCCATGGATCAGCTGGGGGGTGCTCAGGAGTATCCAGTCCCCCCTGGACTTCCACAGCAAAAGCCCTCAGGTCGGGCAGCTTAAGCAGCACACCCTTTTTCCCTAAGGCTCTGGCTTCAGGGTTCAGCTTCTTCCCAACCACAGGAGGCCACCTTCCTGTGGCCTTCACTTATGGAAGGAGGACAAGAGAACCCTTTGGCTCCTTTCTTTGTTTGCTTGTTTTTGAGGTCCAATGAACTCTGGGCCTTCACACTGAACCCCAACCCTTCTTTCTTTTTTATTTTGAGACATGCTCTCTAAGTCACTAATTGCCCAGGCTGGACTTTCAATCTTGCCTCAGCCTCCCAGAGTGTTAGGACAACAGGTGTGCCCACCACGCCCAGCTCAGTCCTTTTCACCAGGACATTTAGCCCCTTCCTTTGAGCACCACCCTCATGGCCTCACCTCCCACTGCCATCCAGGGTTCAGCATGGGATCCTGGGTGGGGCCGTGGCACGCACTGAGCCAAAGCTTCCCTGGCAGCCTGTGTCCCCCTGGGAGAAGACAGGGAGGCTCTTAGCCACAGCTCAGGTGGTCATCCCGCGTTGCCCCTTGTTGGGAAACCAGCCCCACTGCTCCACCTACAAAGAGAGGAGCTCCTAACACTCTTCACATCCTTGACCTAGACACAAGGATCACAGAGGTATGTGACGCTCTGCAACCGAGGGGGTAGGAGACATCCACCTGGAACCCCAAGCAAAGCTATTAGATTTTCTTTATCCTACATAATTCTAAGAAAGAGGAAATATGAGGCAATAGGAAAGATATTAAATACTGAATTTTTAAAATGTCCAAATGGTGGGGCTGGGGATTTAGCTCAGCGGCATAAGCACCTGCCTTGCAGGCAGGCGGTCCTGAGTTCGGTCCCCGGTACCGATAAAAATGAAAAAGACAAAAAAAAAAAAAATGGTAAACCGTGTGTGGTGGCACATGCCTGTAATCCCAGCACTTAGAAGGCTGAGGCAAGAGGATCTTTGTAAGTTCCAGACCAGCCTGAGCTACAAAGTGAGCTCAAGGCCAGTGTGAACTGCTTAGTGAGGCCCTGTCTCAAAAAAATTAAAAATGATACTATGGTTAGAACTTGCAAGGTTTGCTCGTGTGGTTAGGGGTCTGGACAGAGGCTGGGCGGCACCCTGGAGCGCCTCCTTCTGCCTTCCTGAGCAGCCCACCCACCTCTGCACACCCACCCCCCGAGGCCCTGTGCCCCTATCAGCCAGGCCCACCCATAAGGCAGTGGACATCAAGGATCATCCACCTCCCTCGATGAGTCTCCCTTATCCTGCTCCCCCCATGGGGTCCCCGGGGAGTCCCTACAAAGGTCTTTAAGGTGCCACCAGCCAGCACCTCCTGGTGTCCCGGGGCCAGCCTCACGGCTGGGAGAGCAATATTCTCACTGGCCTGTACTCTATTGTGACACATGGCATGTCCACCTGGACTAGCAGACCAGGAGAGAAGCCCCATTCCCTGACCCATCTTCCACCCTGCACTCCTACCCTGTGAGAGGGTCAGCCCGGCTCACAACTAGGTAACTATGAGCTGATACAGCTTAACCTCTCCGAGCCTCAGTCCCAACCTCTGACATGGGGACAGCAGGACATATTCCTTGGGGCGTGTAAGCTCACTCACTGCCTGCTAAGTGCCCGGCACAGGACTCTGCACTGGGGAAGCTGGGCCAAACCAGTTCTTGCAGTCATACAGGGACACACGACATGAAGGCCGCTAATGTAGCTACACACACACACACAACACACACCACACACACATATGGATGGACGGACAGATGGCACGAGCCAGCTCAGATCTGGGGGACAAATCCATGGCCCCAACTGACACCCCGTCAGGGCTCGGCTCCCTCTCCACCTTTGTGCCCTGACCCAACGGGAGCTATGAGCTGGAGGCAGACCTGTCCTGCCCTACTGGGAGAGCCATGGGCATCAAGGGATGCCTCAGGCCCAGCCCTCAGGGACTCGCCCGCTAGCCCTGCAGACACTCTAGGCACCAGGGATGAAACCCCATTGCCATACACTTTTTGCATTTTGAGCCAGGGAGGTAAAAGTCAGAGATTGAGCCACGGAAGAGTTTACTGTCCACAGCCCACGACACACCAACACCCCCAGAGACACGGCAGGCTGGGCATACAGGCATCTATCTGTCTGATCCACTCAGCAGGCAGCCTGTCAAACCCTCCAAATCCAGAGCATCACATTCCATGCTATGCTGTGTTAACAACACCTCCCCCTTTTCCTCCTCCACCTCCACTGTGCCCAACATTGACAGCACCATCCCCACAGCTACCATCCTCCTGTCTGTGCGGCCTGCCCTCGCCCCTCCCACACCCATAGAGAGCTGGTCCCCACCAGGTGTGGCCGCCTGCACTCTCAGGGCCAGAGGCAGCTGCAGAGAGAGAAGCGCTGGGGTAGGGGAAAGGGAGGGTCCAGCTGCACCCAGAGGATTGGCTAGGCTGCATCCTCTCGGTCAGCACCTGACTGGGAGGCGTCTCAAAGTGACAGTGACCCCAGCCACTGCCCTGAGCTCTGCCAGTCCCAGCCAGGAGGTCCAAGTCATGAGGGGTGTGCCCCGAGGGCCTTGAGAGCCACCTCAGAGGCACAGGTGAGGTAGGGAAGGCCGCCAGCTGTGCAGGGTGCAATGGACAAGTTCCGGATGATCTTCCAGTTCCTGCAGTCCAACCAAGAGTCATTCATGAACGGCATCTGTGGCATCATGGCACTGGCCAGCGCCCAGATATACTCAGCCTTTGATTTCAACTGCCCCTGCTTGCCGGGCTACAATGCGGCCTACAGCGCAGGCATCCTGCTGGCGCCCCCGCTGGTGCTCTTCCTGCTCGGCCTGGTCCTGAACAACAATGTGTCCATGCTGGCTGAGGAGTGGAAGCGGCCCCTGGGCCGCCGGGCCAAGGACCCTGCTGTCCTGCGCTACATGTTCTGCTCCATGGCACAGCGTGCCCTCATCGCCCCGGTCGTCTGGGTGGCCGTCACCCTGCTGGACGGCAAGTGCTTCCTCTGTGCCTTCTGCACCACTGTGCCTGTGGCTGCACTGGGCAATGGCAGTGTGGTGCCCACACTACCTGCCCCTGAGCTCGCCCGCCTGCTGGCCCGGGTGCCCTGCCCTGAGATCTACGATGGCGGCTGGCTGCTGGCCCGAGAGGTGGCTGTGCGCTACCTACGCTGCATCTCCCAGGTGAGGGACTCGGTCTTCTCACAGACTGGGGAGCTCTTGGGGAGGTCCTAGCCCACCCCATGCCACTGTCCCTCAAGTGGAGTCAGGGCGGGGCACTCGAGGCCAGAGCCTCCCTGGGACCATCTTTGTCCTGAAGCCCCAGGATGGACTCCACAGCTTGGCCATTCCTGCCTCCTCCACTCTCAGCTCTGAGTTTAGAAGCAGGGGAATTTGCATCCTTTGCCTCTTCCAGGACTAGGCTTGGGTGAAGTTGATAGGTAGCTAGGCATTTGGGTACATTTCCCTGGCAAATACCCCCAGCCAGCACCTCCCTGCTCAGGGAGCCAGAGGGTTGGGAGGGAGTGAGGGGCTACACGGTCGGGAGACCTCAGGGTCAGGGGGCTCCCCACCAGAGGGCAGAGGGCAGGCATCTGGGCCAGCCCCCTGTGGGCAGGAGGAACCTGGGCACCCACTTTGGTGACACAGAGCCCTCCCTGGGCCTCCCTCGTCAGGCTCCTGTCACTACCCAGAAGCCCTTCCTGAAGGTCCAGGCCTCCCAGGCCTGCTCCTCTCCTCAGGCCTCTGGTTAAGTCTTGCCAGGCCCCAGGCAAGGGCAGCCATTCCTCCTCATCACAAGCAGAAAGGTTCCAGATGCCCCAGGCTGCCAGACCTGTGGACGGGTTTCACTTGCCCTGCAGAGGCTCAACTCTGAAGTCAGCTTTAGAATTCTTTGGTTTCAACTCGAAATCAAAAATATCCACAAGAAATCAGATTTCTGGCATCAATTGAACCATGAGCAGATGTAGCCCCTCTTGGCGCCCATGAGCTCAGTGCGCAGCTTCTCACAAGAGCCCCAGGAGATAGGCCTTGTGACCACCAGGACCATTCTATGGGTGAGAAAACACACAGAAGCTATCGGCTCTGCTCCTAGTCAAGGAGCAAACAGTGGAGGCAGGGTCCAACCCAGGCAGTCTCAGTCCATGCTCTGGAGTTAACCCCAGCCCCTGAGTTTCTTGCCATGGGAAAGATGTCATTCCTGCAAGGTAGATCCATATATGCCCATTTTATGGGTGAGGAAACAGAGACCAAGAGGCGAAGTCACTCATCCAGGTCTCGATGTCCTGTGTCAAGGCTCAAGGATGCCATGGGGGTCTGGGAAGCTGGGAGGGGGTGCTCAGGCCCACTGACGCTGCCATCCCTGCAGGCGCTGGGGTGGTCCTTCGTGCTGCTGACCACGCTGCTAGCCTTCGTGGTGCGCTCTGTGCGGCCCTGCTTCACGCAGGCTGCTTTCCTCAAAAGCAAGTACTGGTCCCACTACATCGACATCGAGCGCAAGCTCTTCGATGAGACATGCACTGAGCACGCCAAGGCCTTCGCCAAGGTCTGCATCCAGCAGTTCTTTGAGGCCATGAGCCACGACCTGGAACTAGGACACGCCCATGGGGCACTGGCCACCACCACGGTGGCCTCCACTACCCCCAGCCCCACCGATGGCACCTCGGAGGAGAGGGACAAGCTTCGTGGTATCACTGACCAGGGCACTATGAACAAGCTGCTCACAAGCTGGCACAAGTGCAGACCTCCCCTGCACCTGGGCCAGGAGCAGCCGCTACTGGGCAATGGCTGGGCAGGAACTGGGCCTCAGGCACCCCGCAGGGAGGTGGCCACCTACCTCAGCAAGGTGTAGACTCTTGAGCCCACAGGAAAACGAAGGGCCCAGTGCTGGTGGGAGGTGCGGGGGGGGGCACATTCCTAGGCAGCCAGCTGCCTCTGTGAGAAAGGAGCCTTGATGCTGGAGGGCACCTCATCAGCTGCTCGAGACGCTGCCCTGAAGGTCCTGGGGCGGGCATCCCTAAACAGTATTCTAAGTGTCAGGACTGGATTGTAGGGCCAGGGCCAGAGGACCAGCACCTGGCCTCCCTTTCTAGAGGGGCTGGTCTAATCCCTGGCTCACTGTCTCCTCCCAGGCCTCATGGGCTTGTGGTCACTGGTTTTTCTTACTTTGCTCCTGGTACTGGTGGTTGAACCCAAGGCCTTTGCTACAACCTCAGTATTTTTTCTATCTTGAGGTGGGATTTTTCTAAGGCACTAAAGTCCCCAGACTGGGTTTGAATTTACGATCCTCCTGCCTCAGCCCTCCCAGGTACTGAGATTACAGGTGGACACCACCATACCTGGCTAACTTAATTTGTGGCTTTTGAAGATCTCTCTTCCCCTAGGCTCAGGGACTGGGAAGCCATCAAGCCTTTCATGATCTCAGTCAGTGTCTCCTGGGGGAGGCTGAGCAGCCGGAGGTAGGCTATGAGACAATACCTCGGGAGGGACATGTCTAAGGGACGAGAGACAAAACAACAGGCCAAGAGCCAGGTTGCAGTGAGGAGGCTGGGCTACGTGGCCACGTCCTCATGGTCAACTCTGTTCAGGACACCAAGAAGTGTGTCACCAGAGCACCAGTGTCCCCACACCCTGACCTTAGGGGCTCCAGGCCAAGCTCAGGCTTGAGAAGTCTCTTCTTTCCTCACAGACCCACCCTTACAGATCCACCCGGGGTCTGAGGAGACTGGGGTGGAAACGGCTTCAAGGTGGGCAGCACGGGCTCTACCACGTTGCTGGCCAGGTGTTTCATTTTCTGTGCCTCAGTTTCTCCTCCAGGGATAAGGGCACCTACCTCGTGGGCCCGTATGGAAAAGCATGCAACATGTGGTGCCCATATTCATTCATGCCTGAACTCCAAGGCACCCTTTGCCCTTCCCCGGGCGTGCAGACGGCACCTAGAGAACAGAGACACTCAGGCTGCTACTGGTCAGGGAGGCAGAGATGGGCTCCTATCGGTATAGCTTTTAGCCCACTTGGTCCTGGGAGGGGTTCCAGCTCCCCTCACTGCCCCAAGGTGTCTCTGGCTGTGTTTGCAAGGAGGGCAGAGCGCTGTGGCGGAGGTGGGCTTGGAGGGCAACAGGGATGGGGATGGGTGGCTAGGGAAAGATTAAGCCCTGGACTGACAGCACCAGGTCCCAGGCAGGAGCCCCAAGCCTGGCTGTGAGGTGTTCAGACTGCTTCTTGGAATGGTGGTGAGGATGGAGGGAGGGCACGCTCAGAGGAGGAGTTGGGGCCATGTTTGGTAAGGGGCAGGATCGAAGCAAACAGAAGCAAAACTCTGCTCCCTCTCCCTTCCTCCTGCCCTGGGCCTCAGGGGATCCCAGGGCATGGAGCCAGAGCCCAGGCCAGCTCCCCCTGAGGGGCCCCACCCGGCTGGCTGCTGAGGTTCCCCATCACCCCGGTGCAGAGGATGCCATGAAGCATGGACAGGGCACTGAGGAGCAAGCCAGGGGCCGGGGACAGCTGCTGTGAACCAGAGCCCGCTTTCCACTTCCTCCCCTGGCGCCGCCTTGCTACCTCCCCTCCTCCCTCCCTTCCCCCCCTCCCCCAGGCTGTTTTTCCACTTGCAAGCAAATATGTTCCGTCCCACTCCTACTTCTCTTTTATGGAGTTAAAAGTGTCTGTGGACTCGTAGACAAAAAACAGTGAAGACGACAGCCCCAGGCTCTGCTGGTCTCAGCCTCCAGCCCTGTGCAGAGGCAGCAGGAGAGAGCAGGGTAGGCAGTGGGACACTTCGGGTGCCGCCTGCATCCTCAGCCAGTACCTGCCAGGAACCTGCCGTGTCTGTGCCTCCACCCGCCTGGGAACCCAGCCCTCAGAGGCCAAGCCACAGATGCCTCTGACCCCAGGTAAGGAGGGCCCCTCCCCGGGGTGTGCTGGTCTGGTCAGTTGCTAGGGCACAGGGCAGGGTCACACAGGCAGCCCAGAGGTACTCTGAGGCTGGAGAGGGCCCCAGCAGAGTCCTGAGTGACCCACAGGGATGGTCCCAGGGAGAGGCCCCAGCTTGGGGTCCGACCTACTCCTCGGGTGAGGCCTCCTTGGTGCCTGAGCAGCCTCACTCTCTAGTAGAAGCAAGACCCTGGCACAAGTCTGGGAAGAGGGCTGATCCATCCTTGGCTTGTCACTGCCCTGTGCTGCCATCTCATACCCTATTCTGGGCAGATACATGGGCCCAGTTAGGTGCCCAGAAACCAAGAGAGAAGGGAAAAGAGGAGGAAATGCATTTATTTTCAGAAATGTAGCCAAGTCTCTTTCCCAGGGCACTTGACATGAGAGCCTCTGGGTAAGGCCAGACTTCTGGTGACCACATGTGCACACACCCTGCCTAGATGGAGAAGAGGGGAGGGTGTAGATGCAAGGCACACTCAGAACGCGGCCGCCGCCAGGGAGTCTTGTTTTCCAACCCAGGATGGGGAGGAACTGGGGACACACCCTGTGCAAGATCTGGGCAAGGGGGGTGGAGCCTGGGGAGTTGGGGCGCAGCTCTGCAGTAGCCCGAAGCCACAGCCATTTTCTGGCAAGCTGCCTGCTTGCTGCAGGCGACCACCACCAGGCCAAGGGTTGGCTCCAGGACAGGTGGGCAGACCAGGCTCAGCCTCTCCAGGGCTTCCTGTGGCTGGTGAGTGGGCGTTTCCAGGTCTGGAGCATAAAGCATGGCCCTGGGAGGAGGGTCCTGAGAGGAGGAGATGGAAAAGGCAGAGGTCTAATTTAGCTCAGATTCACTGCGTTCCTCCGTAGTTCTGGGTTCCAAGTCCTGCCCAAGGACCTCCATGTCTATCCGGCCGTGAGCAAAGCCTTTTACCCTCTCAAGAGCTTCACTTCCTGCTTGGTCTCTGAATCCTCCCTACCCTGAAGACCTCACAGGGTGATCAAAGGCAGGACCGCACATTTTGTACAATTACTAGGTATCGTTTATTTTCCAACATTCCTAGCAAGACAGCAGCTTTTATCTGCTTTCCAGAGTAGCACACTGAGGCCAAGCAGATTTGAATTGTGTGGAGAGCCTGGGTCTCCAAAGTGAGGTCTTACACACCCCACCCTCACCACTGACTGGAAACCTCTTTCTTCCCTCCAAAGTCCCAGGCCCCTCTGAGCGTTAGCATGGCCTGGATCCCGCAAGGCCACCCTCGCCCCGGCCTGAGGGAAGTTAGTGGTAGGAGACCTGAAGTGCTTGTGGGAACTCCCACCCCCCAGGGGCCTAGGCTCCTTCCTTCCTTCCTCACCCGCCTTCTCAACTGGACGTCCTGAGCCTCCGCTGAGGCAGACATTTAGGGCTTATCTGCTGTTTTGTAGGAAGCACCATGGCAGCCACTGTAGGTAACAAAATGGCACAACGCTACCCAGCCTGCGGGTGACCCCCGCCTGTAAGCCTTCCTAGTCCCATCTGGAGCCATCGACCCCACTCACATCTCCCTCCTCCCCCACCCCGCGCTCCGCCTGCCTCAACCCACCCGTCACCATGGCTGCCCTGATCGCAGAGAATTTTCGCTTCCTGTCACTCTTCTTCAAGAGCAAGGATGTGATGATTTTCAATGGGCTGGTGGCTCTGGGCACAGTGGGCAGCCAGGAGCTGTTCTCTGTGGTGGCCTTCCACTGTCCCTGCTCGCCGGCTCGGAACTACCTGTACGGGCTGACAGCCATCGGAGTGCCTGCCCTGGCCCTCTTCCTCATCGGCATCATCCTCAACAACCACACCTGGAACCTGGTCACTGAGTGCCAATATCGGAGGACCAAGAACTGCTCAGCTGCACCCAACTTCCTGCTCCTAAGCTCCATCCTGGGCCGGGCAGCCGTGGCCCCCGTCACCTGGTCAGTCATCTCCCTGCTGCGCGGGGAGGCCTATGTCTGCGCTCTCAGCGAGTTCGTGGACCCTTCCTCCCTCACAGCGGGGCCAGAGGGCTTCCCTCGAGTGCACGCCACAGAGATCCTGGCCAGGTTCCCTTGTGGTGAGGGCCCAGCCAACCTGTCAGACTTCAGGGAGGAGGTCAGCCGCAGACTCAAGTACGAGTCCCAGGTAAGCGCCTGGACGCAGGGACTCTCCTCCCCAGGCGGCAGGCGCACAGCGGCCTTGGGACACTGGCTTCGGGGAAAGTGCTGGTGACTAGAATGTGGCTGGTTGGCTTGGGAGTCGGGCTTTTTGGGCAAGGGTCACAGCGAGTTGGGAATTTGGTGCTGGGCCTTGGTTGCGTTGAGCTCATACTGCCATTGGGCTCCAACTGTGGCTCTCAGAGCTTTACAGTGAAAGGGGCATGCTTCTGACTTGACAGGCCACACACAGGCCTCTGACCTTAGCGGGTCTGCACATGGCCCCCTGCAGGTCAGCGCAGTCACTGTAGCTGAGCTGGCTCTGAGACCAGCACATCCCGTCCCACAGGCTGGGCCTCTGGCACCTGCTCAAAGACATAAAGGCGGGGCCGTATGGGCTGTGTTAGGAGGCCACAGCCACCTGACCCCATGGGCAGCCTCTGCTCCATTCCAGAGTGGTGGGGCCAGGGAATGCGAGGGAAAGGCAGCCCCTCGAGCAGAAGTGTAAACTGAGTGACCTCCAGGGTAGACGGAAAGGAGCATGAGCTTCTCCAAATGGCCTCTTGTCCCAGGAACATAAACCCAGGCAGCCAGAGGGACAGGGTGGTGACAGCACCACAGAGAGAAGGTGTAGACACAAGAAGTATGTTAGCTGGGGTGCAAACACCCAACGGTCTCTGCATAGACGCAAACGTGTCTTCATAACCTGCCCTCAGCATGTTCATGTCCGGGCTTTCAGGCAAGGACGTGGATGACCTGACAACAAGGCGCCTGCTCCCAGAGGGCCTCCAGAGTTCTCCTGGAGGTAGCCTGAGGCTAGCCTGACAGCTGAAGTGTGTTGTGTGTGTGGTGCGGGGATCAGACCCAAGGCCTCATATCCAGCCTCTGGAACTACACCCAGACCTTGAACTGGGCTTTGGCAGGATGAGATGGGGAGAAGGGAGCTTGGGGTTGAAGTGGTAGCAGAAAATGCAGTCTAAAAACAGGGCAGGAAGCCAGGCACGGTGGTGCATACCTATAATCCTAGCACTCGGGAGCTGAGGCAGGAGGTTTACTGCCAGTTCTAGGTCAGCATGTGGGCATAAGGCCAGCCTGAACTGAACAGAGCCAGACCCTGTCGCAAAAATAATAAAGACAAAGCAGGTGCAGGTAACTGGAAGGGACGGCCTGCCTCCCTTGTCCCTGGTACTTGAGCTCCTCTGTGGGGGTGGCAAGGGGCTGCTCTCGGTCCCCTCTAAACCTGCCTGTCCCCTGACCAGCTCTTCGGGTGGCTGCTCATTGCCGTGGTGGCCATCCTGGTGTTTCTGATCAAGTGCCTGAAGCATTACTGCTCACCGCTCAGCTACCGCCAGGAGGCCTACTGGGCACAGTACCGCACCAACGAGGACCAGCTCTTCCAGCGCACAGCTGAGGTGCACGCCAGGGTGCTGGCTGCCAGCAATGTGCGCCGCTTCTTCGGCTTTGTGGCTCTCAACAAGGATGACGAGGAGCTAGTCACCAAATTCCCGGTGGAGGGCACGCAGCCACGGCCGCAGTGGAACGCCATCACCGGAGTCTACCTGTACCGTGAGAACCAGGGCCTCCCACTCTACAGCCGCCTGCACAAGTGGGCCCAGGGTCTGGCGGGCAACGGCAGGAGCCCCGACAGTGTGGAAATGGCCCTGCTTGCCTCCTGATGCCTGGCGCTCCACCTTGGCACCAGAAGGGTTTCCTTTCCCAACCACTGCTTCTTGGGTGAACAGGCTGAGGGAAGGCGGCGAGGTCAGCTGAAGAAACACCCTTCCTGACCCTGGTGCCACCAGCTGCTTGGTTCACAGCTTCAGGGTAAACTCTTTCCCATTGCGGGTCCTTACTTAACAGTGCGTGGACAAACTGCTGGTGGGACTCCAGGCCAAGAAGCCCCAAGCCTGCAGAGCAGGTGATAGTGGCCTCACGGGTGTGCAGTTAATTTATGTCTAACTGCAGAACAGGGCTTGGCTGTACACTGCTGAAAGCTGCCTTCGTTGTAAGCCTCTGGCTTGATTTTTTGTATCTAAATTTCATAAAGTTTTTGTTACCATAACGGACTACGCTGGTGTCTGGTGACTGAATGGGTGAGGGGTCAAGGCTGAAACAGACCACATGGGTGGTGGTCCTGCAGGGAACACCAAGTGTCCAAAGAGGGTGAGATCCCTAGGCAACTGGCTTTGATCTGATTTGGTAGGGGTCAGAGACAGCCTGGCCCTCCCTAAGGGAGCTCACCGGGCCATGTTATGAGGCAGATGAGTCCAGCACTCAGGTTCCAGAACCAGATGGCCCCAGCATCTAAAACCTCCTGACGCTCTCCCTCGCTTTTGCTCTGCTCCCTGGCACAGGACTCAGTTACTTCTCATGGAAAAGCTCTCAGGATGTTTCAGGCTTGGTCAGAGAAAGCTTTTATCTCCCTCAGGACCCAGCCAACAAAGAGCTAGCTTAAACAGCTAGTGGGCCTCCCACTGTACCCAGCTTGGGGAGGAGCGGTCACTGGCCAGAGTAGGCCTGGACGGCCATCACAGACAGCTTCACTCAGCGCTGAGGCTTTGCTCAGCAGCCCCACTTTCCCAACTCTGCTAGCCACAAGGCCTCCACAGAAGGGCCCTGGGGACCAGCAGAGCTAAGGCTGTGCCCAGAAGCCTAGAGCACCTGCTCCTAAGCCCAATGATTCCTCTGGCCAGACTGATAGCCTGCCAGGGACACAGCAGCACCCCATCCACCTGGCATGGAAGCAAGAAATGGCCTTGAAGGAGACACACCTGGTTTTCCTGGGGCTCCAAGATCCTGCAACCACTGAACAATCTCAGGAAAAAGATGCCATAAACCAGTCCATGAAACAAAGTATGAGAAGGATTAAACCCCAAGGGACAGGTGTGTGTGGCTCAGTGGTAGAGGCCCTGTCTGGGATGCATAAGGCCCTGAGGTCCATCCACAGCACCGCCTCCTCCCCCCATAGATAAAATAAACCGAACAAGTTGAGTGTACAAATCAACAGCCTGGGCTTCTCTTTCATCCTGACAGATTACCCTAAGGGTGCTGCAGAAAAAGCAGCATTCTAGAGTCCTCCCGTGCCCAGGGCCCAGCCTAGTCTTCCAGCACCGAACTCTTGGCCTCCACATACTCCAGGGCCTTGGCCTTCACTGCCAGCACATCCTTCTCAGTGCCATGCTGCTTCTCGTAGTCCAGATAGCGCTTGAAGAAGAACTTCATCTTCTTAGGGGCCAGGCTCAGGTGAATAACCCGCTCAAAGAGGTCTCTGTGAGGAAGAGCAGGACGGTAGTCCTGAGTCCTGGCCAGCTCACCACCTGCGCTCAGCCTCAGTCCCTGTGTCACCCAGGAAGCCCAGGGTCACCTGTTTTTTTTGTTTTTTTTTCAGGGGACAGGGTCTCTCTCTGCAGTTCAGGCTGGCCTTGAGCTCACAGTGTAGCCCAGGCTGGTCTCAAACTCGCAGTGATCCTCCTGACTCAGCCTCCCAAGTGCTGGGGTAACAGGCATGAGCCACCATGCCCAGATCTTTTTTTTGTTGGTACCAGGGATCCAACTCATGACCTAATGCTTGCCAGACAGGCACTTATGCCGCTGCACTAAATCCCTGGCACTCTGTTGTTTTGTGAGACAGTCTCACTGGCAGTCCTGCTTGGGCCCAGAGTGGTGCAGTAACGGGAGAGTGCTACATGCCCAGCCCCCATCCACCGTTATCATCATTATGAACTCTTGTAAGGTGCTGGCAGTACACTGCCCTTATTTTCCAAATAAGCACCAGTCACTTGCAGAAGCCAAAGGAGTACTTTGCTAAAATCACCAGTGAATGAGGGAGCACCAAGGTGCTGTGATAGTGCATGCCTATGATCCTAGCTCTCTGGGAGGCTGATGCAGGAAGATCACTCGTTGGAATCCCTCCTGGGGAACCTAGGGACTTAGTGAGATCCTTGAGCAAAAAACAATTTTTTTTAAAGGGCTAGAAATGCAGGTCAGTACAAAGGCTCTGGGTTCAACCCACCCCTCCCCCTGCAAGGAAAAAAAAAAACCTACAGAAGGCCCCCAGGATAGGTGCTTCTTTCCCAGCCTCAGTCCACCCCTTCCAGCCTTCCCTGCCTTGCACAAAAGTGAGACTGTGTGTGAAGACTCTGCACAGCCAGAGCTGGGCCCAGTGCTGTGACTCCTGGCCCTAGCCCACTGTCCACCAGAGGGGCCAGAGACCAGAGGCTGGAAAAGCGTGCACACTGGGCCTCCAGTGTCCTGTCACAGCTATTCTCTTGGACCAAATTAAGGAACTGGGAGCCTGTGTGTGGCAGCACCCCCTCCCCACCACCCTTTCCACACCCAGCTGTCTGTCCTCCTCTCTCACCGGATTTCCTTCTGGCTGCTGTGCTTGATGGTCAAGTCGATGAAGACCGACCAGACATCTGTACGCTTTGGGTAGGTGCTCAGCATGTTTTCAAAAATGGCTTTGGCCCGCTCTGCATCTCCCAGCTGGAACTCCAGCTGGGCAAACTTGGTGATGACATCCATGTCTGTGGGGAGAGGGCCACTCAGAGCACTGCAGGCTGACAGAGCTCTGGCACCACCAGCTGCTGCAGGGGCAGGAGGCTGACTTGCGGCTCTTGGACTAGGTCTTGCAAGATAGGCAGAACCCTGGGGTGGCTTAGAACTAAACATGTGACTGGGCCCCTCTGACCCCTACTCTCCGCACAGGAAGAGGCAGGGCCCAGGCCAGCAGAGTACATGCTGGCTGCCTCCTGTTCCACCTGTCACAGCTTTCTAGCTATATTAATGAGTGCAAGCCTGCCCTAACTCACAAGCCCTAGAGCCTAGAGAAGATGCCAGCCCTGCTCCCAGATGGCTGGCAGAGAGCCTGCGCTCTCGGGGCCCAGGTCTAGCACTCACGCTCCTTGGTGGGCAGGCACTCAAGGGCTCGCTGCAGCACACGGCGACAGGCCCCAGCCTGGCTCCTCCGTAGAAGAAAGGCACCATATTTGACCCAGACAGCTTTCTCCTGCCGGAAGCGCTTCAGCATACGGTTGTACAGCTCACCAGCTTCCTGTAGGCAAGAGCCTAAGCTGAGACGTGCTAATTCCCAGCTAACCCTGCATCCTTTAGTAGGCTCTGGACTGGCAGCCATGGTGGTGCATGCCTATGAGCCCAGCACTCTGGGAGGCTGAGGCAGGCACATCACGTCCAGGAAATTTAGCAACTGAGAGATGCAGTCTCCAAATAAAAAGGAACTAGGGCTACAGATGTTCAAGCAAAGACCTAGGTTCCATCCCCAGTTAAACAAACAGAACAAGCAGACCACGCAGGAGGAGAGGAAGGTGAGAAAGACGGGAGATCTGGCACAGTGTCACAGCTGTAATCCCAGCACTCGGGAGGGTGAGGCAGAAGGATCTCAAAGTTCAAGGCCAGCCTGGGCTACAAGTGAGTCCAAGGCCAACCTGAACTAAATAGCGAGATCTTTGCCCAACCCCAGGATGATGGGACCCAGATAAGAAGAGTACTCCTGGGTCTGGATATCCCTCCTGTGTGTAATGTGCTGTCAGCGGCCCAGGGCATAGAGAAGCAGCCACTGTCCTCTACTTCTGAGGCATTGCTTTGCACCTCCTTTCCCAGAGTGAAGGTGGGCATGATGAGGCAGGGGAGCAGGAGTCTGGGAGTGAGCCTGGGACAGGACAGGACCCAACCCAAGCCTCTCTCCCAAGCCTCCCAGGAGGTCCTTCTCTAGAGGTATGGGTGCTTGGCTGCTGCCATGAGGCCAGGCCTCATACCTGGAACTTCTCGGACTTGGCATAGATGTCAGCCAGGTGGAGGAAGACCTTGAGAGGCTCGTTGTACTGCACGGCGCGCTCAAAGACCTTGCTCAGGGACTCAGGAGAGCCATACATGTTCTCCAGGTTCAGAAGAGCCACCCACACGTTCAGCTTCTCTTGCTCCTCTCTAAGGAGTGCACAAAGCCGTCATCTTGGCATGGTGGGCCCATCTCCACCCAGCATTTGGTGGACCACTGCCTCCTCCCAGGCTCCACACACCCTCACGTCCCAGCCCAAGAGCAGGCCCTGCAAGGTCCAGTCCCCACCACAGCTCATGTGGCACAGGGGACCCAGGCCTGAGCTGCCAGGTCAAGGCTCTCACCTCTCCATTCCTGGGAAGTAAGCCCTCTTTCTGACAACAAACAGGCCTGAGTTCTGGGCAGAAGCAGACTCCTGGGTCCGGTTCTCGCCCCAAACTAAGGGAATGAAGCGGACTGCCCTCCGTCCTCACCAGACTGAGGAAACCAACTCTACTGAGCCAGGAAAATGGCCGCCGGCGGGGCCTGCATCCAGTACTGCAGCCGTCTTCCCATTTACTCCTGCTCCAAACTGGGCATCTTACTGAAGGGGAGAGACTCTTATAACTGCCACCCACAGCTATGCCAGTAAAGAGGCCCATGAAACATTAATAAACAGCTCTGTTTCACAGATGGCTGCACCTGAGAAAAACCCTGATAGTCACAGTCCCCAGCATAGCCACGATGACTGCCGTTGTCTGCCTGCAATGAAGGAACCTGCAGGTGGATTCTGCAAGCCAGAGGTTGGGGGCAATACAATGCTCCCTGTCTAAAGGCCCCCTCCCCCTAGCAGGGAGACAAAGCAGACCTGAAGGAGATGGTCTTCAGGGCCCTCTCAGCCACGGCCCGGGCCTTCTCAATCTCTGTGGCTTGTAGGTGGAAGGCCATGTACTGCAGCCACAGGATGGAGCTGTTAGGGGAGCTGAGCACCAGTCGGTCAAAGTCGTCTGCAGACCCTGGCTGCCTCCTGGGGTCCATGAGAGCCTCCTCAATGCGGGACAGCTCCTTCTCTGATTGCTGTTTCTCCAACTCTCTTTCCTTCTTGCTTTTCTTTTTGTGCTACGGAAGGCAGAAAAGTGAGTCACATGCTCCTCAAAGACCAGGGGAGATCTGTGGTGGCAGCCAGGGTGAGCTGGCTGGGCAGGCCAGGGGCCTACAATATTCCTGGCTGGGCCTGGGTACCATTCCCCACCCCAGCCCACCAGGATAGGGCAGGGCCCAAATCTGAGGGTTCCCTAATGAAGGACACAGTCATAGAAAACAGCACCATGGCTTGATGTGGCTTCTCATCCTCTTCGCTGTCAGAGCTCTCTCCTCGAGGAGGCAAGGCTGGGGTCAGAGAATCCAGTCCCACATCCCAGAGGAAGCCTGAAGACAGTCGCAGCCGGGGCACTTCTGCAGGCTTGGGCAGCATACCCTACAGGGTCACAGAGGTGTGAGAAGGGGACAAGAAAGACCCCCTCTCCTCCAGGCTAGGCCAGGCCTAGGCCAGGCCTAGCCCACTGAGGAAATTTTTACAGCAGTGACATAAATACTATATTCATAAATAATTATCTAGATAACAGATTACAAAACCTAAGTTTGCATAGAACTACACCTAGGATATAACAGTACAGCAAGTCCCTGATTCAGGAACAAGTTCTGCTCTGGGAGAAGGTTTGTAAGTTGGATTTCTTTGTAAAAGTCCAACACAGTAAGTTTCACACATCTTTGACACAAATATACATGACGTGGGGACTACTACAGAGCTGAGACAGAGATGACCAGAGCTCTAAAGGCATAGTATGTGAGTGTCTACAGACTGCAGGCCCTGCCTAGGCCGGAAGCCCCTCCACACCCCACCCTCTCAGCCTTCTCTGGGAACTCAGGCTCAGAAGGCCAAGCCTCCTATTTGCCACCTGCTTTCTTTCATTCAGTGCAACCCACTAAGTCCAGATTAGGGTCTCATTTTATGCGAGCTCCTCTGTGGGGAGAGGAGCTGACAGCCAGCTGAGGAGACAGTACAGCCCCTGTCTCTTATTTGACAAGAATTAAGGGGAAGGAAGAGGGGGTCCGAGACCCAATTCTTTGGGAGGCAGCCACAGACTCCCTTTTCCAGGCCAGTGCCTGCACCTGCTGCTGGCCCTCACCCTGAGCAGCACCTTGGTCTCCTCTATTTCCTCTTCGCCTTCACGATAATACACTTCTACACCACTGTCATCCTCCTCCAGCAGATTGGCCTTCTTCTGCCTCTTGTTCACCCTTTCCTGTGGGAGCAGGCAGGAAAATGTCCAGGAGCATCTCTGGCGTGCAGCTCATTGCCAACCCCACCCCTCCAGCTCTCACTCTGGTACTGTCTGTGCCCGCTGGGCAGGCCTCCAAACGGGCCTCTGTGCCCAAGTTGCCGCTGGCTCCCCCACAGACTCACCCGCACTCCCTCGGAATCCTGGCGCTCTCGCTTGCCCAACCTCTTCACCTCCGTCTGCTCCTTGTTGGGCAGCTTCCCCTCCTTCTGCCCCTTTGGGTTTTTCTTCTCTTTTCTTTGCTGACTCTCTTCTTTTCTGTCCCTCTCCTTGGCCTTGGCTCGCTCCTCTTGCTTCTGAAGCGGCAGTTCTGGGGAGACGGACAGCACATCTGGCCTCCCGGTGTCAGTGGGGAGGAAGGACAGCTCTACCAGGTTCTTGTTGTGGTTCAGCCTACAGCATGAAGAGAGGGAGGGTGGCACAAGAGCACTGGGGGTTCGGGGGATGTAACCCAGTGGCACAGTGCCTGCCTGTCATGCCTGTAGGTATGCTGAGGCTTTTTCTCAGCAGCCCGACTTCTGGACCCTGCTGCCCATGCTCAGGCCTGACATGTGCATCTGAGCATGCTCGGTATACAGCCCAAGAACAGCTGTGATGTTCTGGTCCAACCTAACGATAGAGGCCACATCTGTTTCCCATTGATGCTGGGACAGGCTCCTTCAGTGGAACATTGTGACCTAAGCCATTCTGCTTCAAGTTTATCTTGAAACCTCCCAGGGCTCCCCAACAAAGGGCTGCAGTCATATCATAGAAAGGGATGGACAGAGGCAGAGAGAGAAGCACTTACCTTAGGACCTTGGCAGTGAGCAGCCTCCCTTCAGGCAGGTATTTCCTATAAAGATCCTTCTTGGGTGGGCTGCTCTGGGAGACATGTGAGAACTGGGCCAAACCCACAACTGAGGGGCCAAGGCTGGAAGCAGACAGACAGAAGTCCTGTGGTGATCAGGATAAGAGACTCCCAGCCACCCCTGGGAACCCCCACTTTCCCAGGAACTCGCATTGTGATAGTATCCATAACAGTCCCACATTCCTGGTGTTCAGCAGGATAAAGTGGGCTTTGTAAACTGGAATTACCCAGTGTGATGAAGACATGCGGGGGGGCGGGGGGAGTTCTTCCTGTGGTCCTGGGGCTGGAACCCTTGCACTTGGTAGGCAAGTACTTTCCACTGAGCTACACTATTCCAGCAAGCCAAGAACAAGTCAGCCCACATCAGAACATCACAGGATCTCAGTGGACATTGTGGAAAGGAGAATGCAACACAGGAAGGGCTACAGCAGCCGGGGCTGGGAATCCAATGGGATTTCACACAATATTTACAACTCATGAGCAAACACTAAATCAGAAAATTCAGGACCAAGCCAAGGTCAAACTGCAATTGAAACTTGCATGTCATCTTCTTTGTTCAAATACCAAATAAATAACTCAAACTTTTCAAAACGCATTTAAAAACTCAGAATTTTAAAAGCCAGTGAGAATGCCTAAGTTCTGTTTCCTTTAATTCCCACTGGAGCTGCGTGAAGGAGGCAGCAGATACCAGACTGAGTGAGACAGGTGGCCCACAGGCAGCGCTTCGATATGGGTGCAGCCCATGGCCCAGCCCGCTTACCCCAGGAGCACACCACTTGGCTCAATGGACTGCACGTAGCCCCGCAGGAGCTGCCCCGCTTTAACATCCTGCATGGAGTCGATCTCAGGATCTTCTACTTTGCTTTTTGTCTCGGGGTTCGTTCTAAAGGAATGAAAGGCTTATATACACTCCCACATTCCCCCAGCACCCTGGAACTGCTCTTTGCAGGTAACAAAACACCTCTGGATCTGTCCACAGGACAGTCTAAACCTGACTGACTCTCCTGAGTCCTATCAGGCCAGGGCCTGGTACCCCAGAGCTGCTGTAGAGAAACAGAGAGATGCTAACCAAGCCAGAGGTGTCAAACTGAAAGCCTAGTCTAAAAAACTTCCCCTTCAGGCACGAAGCAAGTGGACCACAGGCCAATCCCTGCCACACCACACTCATCCCTACCATCGAACCCTGGGCACTCTTATCTCTCCTCACCAGCACCACTACCTCACAGCTATGGTCCCACAGCTGAACACTCCCCTCCTGGGGAAGGAAGAGCCTGGAAGACATCGACCTTTCAGCAGTCCAAACATCCCAGCTATTGTGGGTAAGAGGTTCAGGGTAAGAAACACAAGAGCAGAAAAGAAAGATGGGAAGTCAGAGAAGGTCCTCTGAGGGAGTACTCCTCTACTCTGGTCCCAACAATACTCAGACTTACCTGGACAATCGCAGTGACAAAGTCAACATGTGGTCTGCAGTGGACAGGACATAACATCTGGAGTGAGAACAAAAGAGAGGAGATCCACAGCGTGAGAATCTCTGGAGAGCACAGCTTCTTAGCTGGGCATGGTGGCACACACCAGTCATCACAGCACCAAAGCAAAAGAAACAATGTCTTTGAGGTCACCGTGAGTTCAAGACCAGCCTGGACTACAAAGCTAGCCCCTTCCCCCAAACAAACACTCGAACAAACAAACAAGGGCACAATCTCAGGGCAGAAAGTATCTCAGCAGCAAGACAATGCCAGTCTTTCCCACGACACGACTTCCTTTCCCAACAGGCGCCAGGCCCACAGAGTGGAAAGGGCCTCAGGGGCCTGTCTACCTTCAGCCAGTAATTATGACCCACATCTGACAGACGAAGGAAACTGCAATTTAATGCTACTCACAGGTCTGGCTGTCATAACAAGTATTTAAAATAAATGTGTTGCTCACAACCACACTCTCATTTTGAAAGCCTCAAGAAACAAACCAGATACAATTCTGGATGTTTCTGGACTCAGTCTTGAGCTTCTCCCATGCCCAGGGTGTTTTGTGCTGGCTTCTTCTGATCCATGCTTGGCAGGCTAGGCAGGCACTGGGGACTGGCTGAGGAGAGTGACTATCTCCCACTCTGGTCCCACACTGTGGCCAGCTGCACCATACCATGCTGCATTGTGCCTCCATGTGGCCAGTTTGTTCCGGCCTGAGGTGGCCTGAGAATGCTACCTGAAATAGGCCCACTTCTGGGTATCTGAAGCAGGTCATGAGTAAAGCCTCGCTTTTCTACCAGCCACAAAGCCTATCTCATTTTTTTTTTTTTTTTTTTTAGTACCAGAAATTGAACTCAGGACCGCTGAGCTATGTCCCCAGCCCAGGTTATCTCCTTTTACAGAACACACCTACTTGGGAATTCCACCAAACTAAAACCATTAATATTTCAAATACAAATGCGCAAATAACTTAGACAAGCAAAGCAAAACCAAACAGCCAAGAAACTAATGACCAAAAGAGGGAAAAAATAATTAAAATGAGAGTTTTGCTAAGCAACAGCTAAGATAAAGCAACACGCAGCGCTGGAGGAGATGTGAGAAACAGCAACCTACTGCACATGGGACTCAGGCCTCACAGAGAGCACTCAGCAAGACCCGGAACAGCACCAGACCCACCAAGCTCCCCGCTAGGAATTTACCCTGAAGGAATTTACCCAGCACCAGGATCCCAAACGTGCGCAGACTCTCACTGCAACATGACTGTCTCTTATAATGAGCAGTAAAGCTGGGCACGGAAGTGCACACTGGGAATCTCAGTTACTCAGGAGCCTCAGGTAGGCGGATGTGGAATTTAAGGCCAGGACAGGTGACTGAGAAGGACAATCCCAGAACCTCCCATGACACTGCTGCCTTCCACAATGGGCCGCAGCCGCAGAGGGTGGAGAGCAGGAAAAGGCCCCAAGGGCCTGTCTACCTTTAGCACATAACTTACAAGTCACATCTGACAGGTGCAGGAAACTGCAATTTAACGCTATGCACAGGACCCTTCATCTCAAAATACAAAAGTAAAGAGGGTTGGCAACTCAGCTTGGTGGGAGATTATCTATGGGCTCGATCCTCAGCACCACTAAAAAATACTAAGCAAATGTTAAAAATAAAGTGAGAGAATAGGGTAGATTCAGATACACTAGTATGGAAAAGAAGTTCGTGATAGACTGCTATGAGAAAAATGTAAGTTGCAAAACAAGCTATAAAATGAAATTCTATTACCTTATAAGGAAAACTGTATCTCCCCACAAGTCAAAGTCTGGAAAGATAAGAGGCTCAAAGCACATACTCGAAAAAAGTGGTGGAGACACAGAGAAGTGACAGACATTTTTTATTTTATATACTTGTTTTCTGCAATATAAAATCACATATAAGCCAGGCAAGGTGGCGCACACTTGTAACCCCAGCACTCTGGGCCATGAAGGTCACGAGTTCAAGCCCAATCCAGACAACTAAGTGACACCCTGTCTCGGAATAAAAACACACTAAGAGGGCTGCCAACTTGGCTCAGTGGCACAGAACTTACCCCACTTAAGCAAGGCCCTGCGTCCCATCCTTAGTGCCACAAAACAAATAAACATAGACCATGTATTACTCTACGATTTAGAAAACATCACCAATTCCACAGATAAGCAAAAGGGGAAGACAGAAAGGGGAGAAAATGTGGCTCACCTGACAACCTTCTGGGGCATGAAGTCCTCCAGGGGCGTCTCTGAGTAGGAGTCACTCATGTGAAACACACTGACAGTCCCCGTCCTCCCAAAGGGGAAGGCGACCGTCAAGCCCTTGTGGGGCGTCACTTTCACCACTCGCCCCATGGCCACTTCTCCCTTCTCAAGCTTGTGAGGACCTGCGAGGAGAATGAACCCAATTTGAGGAGAGGAATGGACAAGGAAACGGCTAGAAGCTGGGTCTAGTTCTGCACACATGGAATCCCAGCACCTAAAGAGGCTGAGACAGGAGGATATCAAGTTCAAGTTCTCCTGGTGACTCAGAGATATTGCCCCTCTACCAAGCCAAGTGGTGGTGCACACCTGTAATCCCAGCACTCCAGGAGGCTGAGACAGGATGATTTCAAGTTCAAGGCCAGCCCAGCTAGGGCAACTTGGTGACTTGACAAGCCCATGTTTCCAAATTAGTTATAAAAGGCTCAGAATGTATTCAGTGCAAAGGCTCTAGGTTTAAATCACACACACACACACACACAGCGAGGATATGGCTCAGTGGTAGAGGAGTAACCCTGGGCTTGCTCCAATAAATAGAAAGAAAGCAGCCAGAATGCCAGACCAGAACAAGGGAGGTCAAGATGACCCTACTGGGATTAGATCAGAGTGATTATGCGGCCCAGCTTACCACACCATGCAGCCTAGAATCCTAAGGCTAGGCACTAGTCAAACCTTTCCACAGGACTTAGGAAATGCCAACTGTCAGTAAAGACAATTCAGACAGTGACAATGTAAGAAAGGCCAGAGACCAGGTCCCAAAAACAGTTTCCAGGTAAAACACACCGTTTCCTCTGGATCCCAACACTGTAGGCATCTTTCAGCCTGGCAGTAACTGCAGACCTTCCTCTACTCTCCTCCCAGGTACTATCTCAGCTCCATACCTATGAGTGACAGACACAAGAATGCCCTGGAGGAATCTGGGCCAACCACAGTGGCCCTCAAGGCCTGGCCAATCTGGAACTTCTTGTCTGGATGTTTCAGAACCTAGAAGGACAGAAAAAAAATTCCTGTGATGCTTCAAGAAAGATCTATTATCCATTCAAAACCATGATTTATGTCTCCAAAGCAACTCCTCTCAAACCCACTGCTAAGTGAGTGAGGAGTTCCTTGTGCCCACTGGAGCACACACATAGTCACACTTAGGCATCCAGGGTCTCCTCTCCAGGGACCTCATATACACTGACCTTGAAGCTGAGAGATGCGAGCAACAAGGGAATTCTCCCCCGAATGTCTGGTGCAATGTCCACTTCAAGCCATTTCTTGACCACATTGTACTAGGAGAACAACAAGGAGCAATGAGATACGGAAAGTACAAGCAAGCTTTCTTTTCTTCTATTAAAAACTGACTCCTAAGGCCACAAGACTGACAAGGCCCTAACTGCACACAAGGGACAGGAGGCACTCTGTACCCTAATGGCCCTGTCTAACTGTACTTCTCACAGCTGCAAGGCGCCCCCCAGAGTCACCTCAGAGTAATGGCCACACTAGCAGAGAGACGGCTTCTCAGATTTCCAGAGGCAAGCACAGGGCTCTGCGTGTCCACAGGGGGCCGATCCCACCACCCTCTGGTTTGCCCACCACCTCCAGGCCCATTTTATTTCTAAATCTTTTATATGTGGTGGTGCTGGGGATGGAACCCACGCCTTCATGTGGTGCTACAAGTGCTCTACCATTAAGCTGTAGCCTCAGCTCTTCTTCAAAAATATTCATCTGAGATATAGTCTTGCTAAGATGACCAGGCTGTTCTCAAGCTTACAATTATCCTGCCTCACCCGCCCGAGCAGCTTTGCTTCCAGGTATGTACTCAGTTTAGACTAAGTTTTTCACTACTTACAACATCCTGCCCTAAACCCAAATCCCAATTTTCAGTCAGCACAAAAAAACACTCCCAGAAGCACACACCATGGTAGTGATAAAAAAGCCAGGCCCCTTTCAGTCTAAGTGTTATATCGAGTGAGTATGCAAATCATCAGCACTGCAAGCCATGCACAGAAGTAAAGCATGCTGAAGGAGGAACCAGGAAGGCTCACAAGCCGGCCAAGTGAACTGTGCCGAGTCCTAGAGGAGGTCAGGCAACAGGAACAAGGACAGTGCAGCATGAAGGGAGGGAGGAGCTTGCAGTGACTGCATAAGGTGGGAGAAGCTGGACCGGCTACTCTGAGACATCCAGGCTTAAGCACAACAGGAAGCTAAAGGGATCAAGCGCCAGACATGGTCATAGAGGTATGTGGGAGAGCAACCTGGCAACAAGGAGAAAGTGCTACCCCTCAGGCCTCCTCCGGGACGCACTTGGCTACACAAGTCACACAGCTTTCTTCCCCAGGAAATACCTTCCCACCCCGGGTCAGAACAGACCCCTTGGCACCTGATTACACACTGCTCTGCACGACAGCTGGGAGTTTATAAAATCCATACTTGGTCCCACACTCACTTTAGAACTAGCTCTATGGTTTTCCTTTCTATGTGTATGAGTCACACAGGGTTGCGAGTCACCTGCAGTTTCCACAGCCGCAATTCAGTTCCCCTATCAGACTAGAGGTTTGCTAGGAGCAGTGGCCACGTATCATCTCAAGAATCAAAGGCCTACAACTCACAGCCTTGGTCACAGCCTCACCCCTTACCTATCGAAAGAACTAGCTCGAGTCGCAGGGTACCGGTTACCTTCTTTAAGAAGCAAGTCACAGTCTGCCCGGCCTGGTAGTGTTCAATCTTCTCCCCAGGGCTGGCTGAGTAGGTGTCCAGAGCGGTGTGGCCCTGCTCCAGCTCGCTGTCCACAGAAAGAAAACACAAAGGAAACAGAGACCTCTGAACAAGGGTTCCAGCGGGAACCATTTCCACAGATGGCCGTAGGCTGATGGCTCAGGGTTCCCCCTCTGCCCTTCTCACTTCTGATTTCTCTCCCTGAAGGGGGTTTTCACAGGACGGACCAGAGGGCTACTCTTTCCCATGTCATTCACCTAGACATGAGTCAGTTGTGAAGAGGGCAGCTCACAATTCTTTTATAAGTCTTAAGAAATAAAATTGTTTTGCTGGTTTTGTAATACTTTAACACTTGTTTCAGGTCACAAAATTGCTTTCAGAAATCATTTCTCCTGAATTGCTAACGATGTAGACAGGATTGTGGGTAGAGCTAAACAGTAGAGTAAGACCTCTGGTTCAGTCCTAGTACTAGAAACACACAAACCAAACCAACGAAAGCATGCAGTCTCAAGCACCCAATTCTTTCTGAGGACTACTGCGGGGTGACAGGAAGCTGGGCTGGCATTTCAGCTCAGGCAGAGGCTGATGCTCTGTGAAGGGTGAGGGCAACCCAGCAATTCCATGAAGCAAGGGCCTCAGTTGGACAGGATCCTTATTCCAGAAATAAGGTAACTTGGACAGACAGAGGCAAAACCACCTAACACCAGCAAAATCAAGACGAGAACTTAGGATTCCTGATTCCAGAGCCCACTGCTCTTCCACGAGATCACGCTACTGGGGTCCCCCTTACCTTGGCCGAATACTTAGCTCCGGAATGGTTCGAATAAATCTGGGGTGACTTATTGGAAGGAACCTGGAGGAACAAGTTGTTCAAATAATTTTCTCATTCTCAGTAACAGAGTGACCTAGAGATGAGGATTTCTCTCTACTCGATCCCAAACCAAGCTTACAGACTATACCCTCCTGCACCTGTGTACTGTTACTGGGAGACACAAGGGTTCTACTCTGGCCCTGTGTGCAAAGTGAGAAGCTGGCTTGTCTAATCCCTCAGGGTCATCTGATTTGAAAAAGCTTTTAAAAAGTCAGGCACAGTAGCACATGCCTATAACCCCAGCATGCCAGAGTCTAAGGCTGGAGGATCACTCTGAGTCTGAGACCAGCCTAGGCTACGTAAGCGAGCTCAAAGCCAGCCTGAACTGTATAGCAAGACTCTGTCTCAAAAACAAACACCCAAAAAAGAATTTCCCTTATATACCACAAACTCCTTCATTATAGAAACAAGAGACCTAAGAGGAAATAAATGCAATCTCCTAGGCACCTAATATACACATGCCCTTTTAGTCTGTTACTCCCCATTTACTTTCAGAGATTCTGAAATGAAAACTGGGCTGAGTGCAGTGGTCCATGCCTGTAATCCCAGGACTAGGGAGGCTAAGGCAGGAGGATCACCATGAGCTCAAGGCCATTCTGGCTACACAGTGACAGCCTGCCTCAAAGGGGGAAAAAAAAAAAAACCAGAAAGAAAACTAAAGCTCAGAGATACAAGCACATGGGCATAATCAATGTGGACTTCGACCTTGTTCTTAACCAGTCCACGGTGGTTTTTAAAACTCACACTGATAGATTCTGGCAAGTATGTTCTGTTAACTCAAAGACAGCCTGAGCCACATGACTTCCTGCAATGCTGACAACCCCTCACAGCCAGCCTGGCCCCCAGAGACCCCATACTTAGACGTCTTCACATCTCGCCCGCCGATCACTCGAGCAGTCACTGACTGTCCAACCTTCAGTGTGGCAGTGGGCATGGAGCCCTCCACCACGTCGTCCAGGATGTGGGAGGCATGGATACAACCAACTAGGCCCCCCTCCAACGTCACAACCACATGGGTGGGCTTCACAGACTTCACCGTCCCAGTGACCGTGTCCCCAAGAGCCAGTGTGTGCTGCCTTCTCAGCCCTGTGACCAGTGCCGGGTCGCCCTCCTCGTCGTCATCCACTGTCTCCGAGTCCTTGCGGGTCTGCCTCAGGACCCTCTGGGCAGCTGGCCCCACAACAGCCAGAAGCAGACCAGTCACTCCCGGTTCTGTGGTCTTGAGGACGAGGCAGACACCCTGGCCCACTTGCAGCTTCTCCGAGTCAAAGCGGAAGGTGTCATTGAGGTGAGAGGCCAGGGAGAAGGCCACCAGATGACCAGTCTCTACCAAGGAGGCCAATGCAAAGGACTCCTCCAAGTGCTGCACGGTGGCCTGGTACTTACGGCCCTTCTTCAGCTAGAAGAGAGAAAGTCAAGTGTCCCCACTGTCCTCATACAGCACTGCCACATGACACTGGTCTCATGCACAGGACAGACATTACTGGAATCACCGTTAGCACCCCGCTACCTTCCCCCAAAATTCAAAATGTGGGTATGCCTGAGTTCCACCAAAATGGCAGAATGCTCCAGTCCCCTACAGAAAACTGAGGGAAGGCTTAGTGTCTCTCCTCAAATTTTAAAACTGTAAGCAAGTCTGAACAGGTGTGGTGGTGGCAAACGCCTTTAATCCTAGCACTTGGGAGGCTCAGGCAGGAGAATCACCGAGTTTGAAGACAGGCTGAGTGAGTTCAAGGCCAACCTGAACTGCATAGTGAGGGCCTGTTCCATCCTCCAAAAAATACTGCAAGCAACTCAAGGTTAAGGATTATATCTAGATAATTCTTTGTAGCATAATCCATGACCTTCCAGTGAGTACAAATACAGGCTGGGGCGGAGGAGGGGCTGGGAGGGAGGGAGAGGAAAGGGAAAAAACAGAGGAACTAAGACACATTTTCTACAGGTACATATTCTCTATGGTCATTACATGTAGCTACATTGTACCAATAAACTTTTTTTTTTTTGGTACCGGGGATCCAACTGACTACAACTGCACTTCCAAGGCAGGCGCTTATGCCGCTGAGCTAAATCCCCGGCCCTATACCAATAGACTTAATTTTTTAAAAAATCACGCAAAAACAGGTTGTATTTAGACAGGCAAACAAAGGATGAACATTCTTAATCTGAAAATTAAAATCCACAATGCTGTGAAACCCAAATTATATCAAAACCCTTATTTGGCATTCAAAGTTTCTGGTGTTGAAGCATCTCAGATTTTGGATTTTCTGGATCAGAGATGAACACCAGTAAAATCAATTCAAATATTTCAAAATACAAAAAATGCCAAACTCTGACACATCCCTGGTCAAGCACTGAGACTAAAAAATACCAGAAGTCGTACAAGGTGCCTTATGCCTGCAATCCCAGTACTTGGCAAACTGAGGAGGAGGATCACAAGTGTGAAGCCGGCCTAGGTTACATACCCAGACCCAGTCTCCAAACAAATGAACAAACGAGAGACAGACAAATGTAACCTGCACATTTATCAGCATACAAAAGTACAAAGCTTCTTCTACTTTCATACAGGCTTATTAATTTAGTTCAGGTTAACCTTAACTCGCTGTGTAGCCCAGGTTAGCGTTGAACTCATGGTGGGGGATCCTCCTGCCTCTGCCTCCTAAGAGTGGGATTTCAGGTAACTACCACCATATCCAGTGAAAAATACCGATTTTGGGATTTCCCCTAAAACTCACTCAGGTCACCCTAAAATGTATGGCAGGAGAGGGTGTGGGTGTGCAGCCTGCATGTCAGAACTACAGATCTGTTTTGTTTGATTCATAAGACAGATTTTAAATATCACATTAGTTTCCAACATTTCCTACATACAGTTCAAATAGAAAACCAACCTCTCTGAAACATCAAAGAGCAAGTGACAGCCCTCTGGATTGAGAGGAGGGCAGGGTACTCCTCTCAATCCTGAGTCCCAGCCTGCCACACCCTAACCTGCACGTGTCTCCGGCCTAGTCCTAGGAGGGCAACCATCTACTGTAGTTCCAAACCAGTGACCACACCAGCCCAAGACATGGAAGAGGGAAAGTCCCACATGGATCCAGGCATTCACAGACTCCTGGATGGGGACCCTGAGCCACAGGAGTGGGAGGGTGAGATGTGAAACCCTAGAAACACTTAAGGCACAAGAAAGCTTACCTTTCGGGCTTTTCTGTTTACTAATTCCTTGAGCAGGGAAACATGAACCTCCAATTCCAACATGTCAACGTGGAGGATGACGGCCTTCCTCTTCTGCCCAGCCTCTACCTCCTGCCCTGCAGTGCAGAACCACACATGGTGGGCTCATTCTCATGCGCCAGGGTGAGCAGGACGGCACAGACCCCAGAACACAAAGAACTCCCCAGCCATAGCAGGGGAAACCATGGTTCAGGTGGGATCTGACATACAAATTATAACCAAGGGCTCAATCCTAAACCTCACTAGCATGCTGTCAGTCGCCTTGGTTTGCAGCCACACGTGCCAGGCAAGCCAGGCTCAGCTGGACCTGTGCACCTGCATATCCCTCACCAGCAGAGGCAGTAAGGCCCATGCCTCCCCAGCACAGTGGGACTGATGAGCAAGAGGGATCACCTACCTGCGCGATGGTATCTGCTGGCTCTCAGCACCAGGTCGGGCACTGGACCCCCACTGAGTACCACAGAGCCATCTTCCAACACTTCCTGCACCACCAGATCCAGCACCATTCCTGGGGTCATCTTGGCCAGTGTCTGGATCAGCACGGAGTCTGTCAAATGCCAAGGAAAGCACGGGTGGGGAAGGCGAAAGAGCACATTCCCTGGCTGTTTCCTCTGGAATGTGCTGTCGCCGTCAAGGGCAATGACTCACACCACTGAGAGGCAGGCTTACACTTTCTGTAAAATGCCCATTCCCTTAAAAGCTATTTAAAGACAGGGCTTCACAGGGTAACCCAGCTTGGCTCAAACTTCTGATCCCCTTGCCTCTCTGCCCACTGCACAGGCAGGAAGACCTGTGCCCTTTGCTAATTCTACCTAGCCATAATTTAAGAAACCAGTCAACAAACACCAGGAACACGCCTGGTGCAGCAGCACACATTAGTAATCCCAGCACTTAGTAGGCTGAGGCAGGAGGATTACTACAAGTTCCAGGCCAGCCTGAACTGCATAGAGAGACTCTGTCTTCAAAGAAAAGAAAGTATCAGGAACACAAATTTTGCTTTTGTTGCTACATTTTTTTTTCTAGTCTCTCAGGCTTTGTATTCACAAATGCCATTAGAGTCCCAACAATCTTACAAAATGGTTCTAAGTCGGGGCTAGGGATTTAGTTCAGCGGCATAAACGCCCACCTTGTAAGTGAGTGGTTGTAAATTCAATCCCCGGTATAAAAAAAAAAAAAAAAAAAAAAAAAAGCAAAAAGAGAACGGCTCTACATCTAAGAGTGACAGCTAATTACCCTTTGCACACTCAAGAACTTTATCACCCATTACTTGTTTGCCAAAAAAAGGAATGAAAACTGAAAAGAGTAAATCTAAACCACACAAACCCATGGCTACAGAAAGAGCTCAGGGGAATTTGCTTCTGGACTGGCATGCGGGGCAGCGGCGCTTTCTGAGATATGTAATGATTTTCTCTGTGGGTGGTGAGTAGGTATTGATTTCATAAACAATTACCTGGCTGCTACTTAATGATTTATGTAGAACACACTTACACTAAAAAATAAGTTTGTAATGCTAGACATAGTGGCACACAACAGCAATCCCTACATTCTGGGAGAGAAGGCAGGAGGGGGGCAAGTTTGATCCTAGCTGGAAAACTTAAAGAGACTCATCTCAAAATTAAAAACACAAAGGGTAAGGGACAGCTCAGTGCAAAGGCCCTGGGTTCAATCCCCAGTACCACACTCAAAAAATGTTTACCAAACTGGGTGTGATAGTGCGCACCTGCAGTCCCTACTATGGGGGAAACTGTGGTAGGAGGGTCACCCAAGCTAGGAATTCAGGGCCAGCTTGGGCAACAAAGCAAGATGTCTGCCTCACAGACACAAAAATATGCTGCCATTTGCAAAAAAGTTTTTAAAAGCCCAACAACTCATCCCAACAACGGGTATGGTTACAGCAAAGGCAGTCCTGCCCATCTTACCCCTGCCCATGGCCCTGGCCCTGCCCCTACCTTGGCTGCCCATAAGACTGCGCACACCATGCAGCTCCTCCAGGCACTGGCTCAGGAGCAGCAGGCTGGTGCTGCTGGAGGATCCCAGTCTGCAGTCGGACAGCCGCAGTGACACCAGCATTCGCTGCTTCTCCTCGTCCACCTTGGTCACTTTCACCACCACTGTCTGCCCTTCAACAAAGTGGTCACTTGGGTTCGTCACAAACTTGTCACTCATGATCTGAAGAGGGGACAAAAGATGGGGAAATGGAAGGCAGTGCATTAAGATAACCCACTTAATGTGCCTGGAAATGGGCTACAGACAGCAGTAGGACAAAGCGACCTAGGAAGCTGCCCCACCCTCCTGAGCATTACTCCCTCCACTTCCCTTTCAGACAAACACAGTGGGGTCCTGGCTGCAGGCCCAGGCTTTTGAAGACACCAAGCCAAGAAGGTGCATCACCAGCAAACGGTCCCTCTCTGACCCCAGTGGCAACCCTTTGCCCCCACTGTGCATGTTTTTGGGGTCTGCCCACTCACTCCCATCTGAAGTTGTCCAGGTAGGAGGAGATGCAACAAGACTTTCCCTGGCAAGACACAGAGAACCAAGGCCGAGGGCAAGGAAGCAACACTCAGGAATGCTCTGCGGCATGGACTCCCAGCCAGCTTTCACTGACTTTGGCCAAGGTCTCCATCGAGGTCTCAGCTTACTTAGCACAAAAGGCTTCCACCTAAGGGACTGTTAGGGTCCCTTTTCATCTCAAATACTTAAAACTCATGGTGGAGGGGACACTCATTTTCAAGGATATCCTGGTGCCTTGAAAACCCCACAAGACTACAACACCTAAACTGGGCTGCTCCGGAAAACCTACTTTTGAGCCCAGACGTGCTGAGTATAACACAGCTCAGCCTTCTTCCTGCAGAGAGTAACCACCGGCACCCCTCCCACAGCGGACAGGAGTTCAGCCTGCAATCAGGGTCGCCTCCCCTCTCCCAGCCATGCAAACCCAACCTCAACAGGATTAAAGTACTCCTGCTTCCCCACAGGCCCCAGGGGCCTGAAAGACCCTTGTAAATGGAGTGCACTCACCGCTTTGGGGGCCAGTCCGCTCAGCCCCGAGGGGAACTGGACGAACACACCGTAGTCCTTGATGCTCTTCACGAAACCCACAAGCAGCATTCCAGGCTGGATTTCTGAGAAGCTCTTGGGAACCTGGCCATCTTCTACTGCGGAGACCAAAGCCGGCTTCCTGCACAGCAGCTGATGGCACTTCATCAAGAAATGTTCCAGATGGACAGAAGAAATCTCCCCCCTGCCACCCTTGGCTCCTATCCTGAGTCTGTGTGTGGCCAGCACCACCACCATCCAGGACTCAGGACAAGTCAAATTCTCCAGGACAAACTGAGCTGTCCTGCGGAAACAGCACCTCTGAGTGGGCTCTGACCACCAGACTCACCAAGGGCTTTTTCCAAATGGATGTGTGACACAGCTCTCTGTTGCTGGAAGGAGTCACAGGGGATACTTGCCCGTGGTCTAACAGTGGGGTCAACCACTGCACAATCCTCTGCCACCCCACATGTGGACCAGAGAACCCAATTTTATCTCCTTAGCCACTGCATGGAGATTTCATCTTACACTCCTTGAGAAGCAGTGTCCTCCTTCAAGGCATTCACACACATCCCAAAGGAACCATGTCTGAGCCCCACACCCCAAGAGTCAGCAGGGCAGGGAAAAAAAGCACAGAACCCCCCACAAGGTAGTCTTCTGAACAAAAGGCACGAAGGCAGGCCAGCAGCTACCTTATCAACTGTTCCACTCTTCCGGCTGCACACTGAACGCCTCCCATGATCACATCCCTGCCCATTCTCACTGGGTACCACTGTGGCTCCTCCCTGGTCCCAGACCTGTGCTCTGTGACCTTGCTGGCTCTTCACTCTGACTGCTACCCTCAGCTGCTGCATTCTTTCCGGCCCGCTCTTCCTTTCCATACTCAGGCTCAGTCACTGGCTTGCTCTTGTGGAGGAATTTCTGTGGTCAAATGGCTAATGTTCTCCCCATGCTGTCTCCTACTAAAAGCAGAGTTTGACACAGAACCCCCACACCACCACAGAGGCCCATGATCTCCTGCTTTCTCTGCCCCACAAATGCTGATCAAGGATACAACCTGCTTCTCACTCTGGCTCAGACACAGCACACGATGAAGTGTGTCGCCTGCCTGAAGCCAGTGATACAACAGTGGGCCATTGGTGACGTGGTCCGATAGGTGAGGGGTCGGCAGGAAAGCAGGGATATTGTGGGGCAGGACAGCCACATGCAGCCCATCTTTGGTCTTCTCTAAAATCTTCACATCCACCAACTGCTCAGGACACACAAGGCAAACACATGTTCTTACACAGGGAGCAACCTGGTCTGCATTAAGGAAAATTCAGAGGCACCAAATCCTGCACCAGAGTGCTTGAAAGGCCCACCTTGCCCTGGGCCTCAACTACCCTCACCAGAACTCATTAGTGGGTTCCTAGTCTTTGGTGGGTACATCTCCTGGGTCCCAGAGCAAAGAGGGAAGTGCAGGCTGGCCAAGCAACCAGAGAGAAGCAGCAGCACCGTGCTGAAAGCCACACCACCCCAGAGCGTCTTTTCATGACTTGGATGCACAGGAGAGAATGTATATGAGGTCCTATCTCAGGACCCCTCTAGCCTTCAAATCTGATGAAGCAAAGTGTATGTTTCTGCTCTATGGGCTCTGGGATTCCACTCTGCGTGTTGGTAGCACCCAGTTCGTCATCACTTCAAGGTAGGATAGTGTCAGGAGTATAGGTACCTGCCCAACACTGATGGCTTTTTTGCTCTTCTGTCTGCGTTCCACACTCCCATTCTTTCGCTCTGGGTCACTCAGCAGCTTGAAGGATAACAGCATCCTTTCTCTGGACGGCTCACAGTTTAGTACAGCAACCTTCACCACCTGGCAAGTAACCACAGCAGCATGGCCACCTACACTAGCAGTAGCCTCACAGGCCCTGGAACTGGTGATTCCAGCAGTGCTGCAGGGGCCTGGAGATAGGTTCCAAGACCTTACTTACATTGGCATAAAAGCCAACAAAGAGAAAGGCAGACACTATCAGAATCCCCCAGCCAGTCTTTTGAAGAAAAGGAAGGTGTGAATAATTTTTTTGGAATGAGCCCAAATTTTTTTTTTTTTTTTTTTGTCTTTTTCATTTTTATTGGTACCAGGGATCGAACTCACGACTGCCTGCTTGCAAGGCAGGTGCTTATGCTGCTGAGCTAAATCCCCAGCCCCAATGAGCCCAAATTTTAAAAAATTAGTTTTTTTTAGCTGGGTGTGGTAGCTCATGCCCATAATCCTAGCACTCAGGAGACTGAAGCAGGAGGATCATTTCAAATTTAAGACCAGCCTGGGTTACAAGGTGAGCTCAAAGCCAGCTTAAACTGCAGTGAGACTCTGTCTCAAAAGGGCCAAAAAATAAAAAATAAAAAAATCAGTGTTTAGGGAAAGGAGAGAAATAGGTGTAAAAAGAATTAAGATGTGTTAGGTACACGCAGCAGCTCCCCACAATGAGTGTAATCAGGATATTTGCCAGCAAGGGCTTTTCTGTTCTCTCTGCTGCCTCCCCCAGTTCTGTGGCTGAGGCCCACATTATTGGGCAGCAGGCACATCTGTGCTGGATTCCTCATTCTCTTAAACAAGGCAGCCCCCAGTTACCACTCCTTTAAGCCTGTGCTTGTTGGGTTGCCAAGGGGGAGAGGCTTATCTGGCGAAAGGGCTACCTGGCCAACATAGAAGACCTTCTCCGGGTCAGGGATATGCTGGTCACTAAGCTCATGCTTGGGCACCAGCCCCTGCACATCGTTGTAAAACTTCACAATACAGCCATAGTCCTTGACCCTGAGGATGGCGCCATGTGTCTGCAGGCCAGGTTTGGCATCTTCATAGCAGGTAATGACAGGCAGTTTGGATGTGACCAGAGTTTTCTTCAGAGTCAGTATCAACTTCTTAGCTTCAGGGTCACAAAGTAAAACCTGGGAAAAGGACAGCTGCCATCAACAAGCTACCTGTTATTGCAGAGGCAAGCAGAAACACCAAAATTGGGAGACAGATTTATTTAACACCAACGGGCCTGACCAGGAATCAGTATTCAAAGTGTCAGGCTTCGATCTCTGGTAGTCTAGGGCTTACATAGGCAGGAAATACAGAAGCAGAGTGTTTGGCGGTTCTTGGTTGGTTACAGTTATTATTACTGACTGGCCTATGGGAAAACTACATCCTATATGTTCTAGTATACAAGTTGAAACTCTGGGCAAGCTCAGCTATAAGAAGTATACAGGTTGAGGGCGAAGGCAAGCTCAGAGTGCTTGAGATAACATATGAAATGTGTATCTGGTGTTGGTGGAAGACAGGAAGGCAAATCTGCTCAGGGGAGTAGCTAGCTGCAGAAATTTGACTCTAAAAAGTTAACTTTTTATTTTCCTCAGAAAGCCACTGAGCCATGGAGCTGGTTCACCCCCTTAACCCAAAGACTGTGGATCATTCCCCCAAGAGACTGTATCTCAGCTCTTAATAATCTCACCTGCAGACTGCAGCCTTGCTTCCCAGAGGACGACCACCTAAGACACATTACTCTGTTCTGAGCAGATGCCCCCTGCAGGCTGCTGCACAGTAGCCTTCAGACCATGCAGCTCTACTCATGGCTTATTTATGGACCCTTCGGAGGCTCAGCTCAGATCACAGTGACAACACCTCACCTCTGAGCTAGTAATGGTTCACGCAGTCCTACAGAATAAATGCGAGGACTTGCTTACCACCTCAGGAGTTAGCTATAAACTAGGACTGAGTGATCCGATCACCTTTCACCTCTCAGGTCATCTTCTTAAGGGCAGAGAAACTCATCATTCACTCGTTCATTTAATTTTGTCTTTTTGAGACAGGGTCTCACTGTGTAGTTCAGGCTGGCCTTGAGCTCACTTTGTAGCCCAGGCTGGTCTCGAATTTACAATAATCCTCCAGCCTCAGCCTCCCAAGTGCTGGGACTACAGGTGTGTGCCACCACACCCAGTTAACTCCTCTATTTTTATCCCATGACTTCACTATCTAAATATAAGTACCAACAGGCAGCCAGTATCTTTTTGTTTACAATGATAAAATAAAACACAAAGAAGAAAATCTAGACCCAGGAGTGTAGTTCTAGGGTAGAATGTGTGCTTAGCATGCAAGAGACTCTGGGTTCAAATCCCAGTGCCTGAATAACCCCACAATCAGAAGAGCTGTGCACTGAGCAGTGCACCCCAGGACCTGTGCTCAGCGTGCCATGCAGTGTCACTTTTAATCTTCACATCTGTGACACTGCTCTTAGACTCAAGCCTTTGTCAGAAACCATTCAGATTTCCAGCATTGTCTGGGGCACTTCTGGGCCTGCAACACATTTCACACTCTTTCCTTTAAGTTCTACCTATCCTTCCTAGTTCAGGCCTCATCTCTGTCAAAAATCCAGTAGACATTAGTGTTTTATAGAGCCATTTATTAGCTATGTGGCTGTAGGTAAGGCACTGAGGTCTAAGCTTCAATTTTTCCACCTGTAAAATGACAACAACGTATTTACTTTAGAGCAGTTTTAGGATTAAATGAAATACTGCACATCAAGGCCCCAGCACCACCACTGGCACAGGACACATATCGCATGCTGGTACCATCCGTGATTCTGCTGCTCCCACCCAACCCATTAGCCCGTTGTTATGGCCTGGGTCTGGAGGCCTCCTCAGAGCCTCATGAGATCACAGGGCTGGCTTTTTCAGAAGTGGCTGAATCTAGAGTGTGTGATGTCAAAATCAAGGGTATACAATTAGTAAATTAGTCCACTGACTGGTTTGTATAGTTCTGGCTAGGATTAAGGGTGTGAGTGCTACACCTGCCCTAAGATCAATACAACTTAAGGGACAGTCCTGTCTTTCCCTCTTGTTGCTTCTGCTGTCTTTTGCCACCATGGATTATTACTTTTCTGCCATGTGCCGTCCTGCTTTGGAGTTAGCCAATTATGGACTGAAACCTCTATAAACTGCGAGCTCAATAAACACTTCCCTCTTTAAGTTTGGGTGGCATGCAATTTTACCTAAGCAACCAGGGAAAACTAAGACACCCTCCTATTTTAATAATCAGATTTAGAAGTCAGGCCTGGTGGTGCACACATGTAATCCCTGCACTCGGGAAGCTGAGGGAGGATCATTGCAAGTTCAAAACCAGCCTGGGCTACAAAGAGAGTTCAAGGCCAGTCTTAACTACATAGCAAGACCCTGTCTCAAACAGACAGATAAGACAGACAGATAGATAGATTGATTGGGCTGGTCCAAAGGTAGTGAGTTATCTCAACTGATTGTTCAGTTAGTACAGACTGAACTCCTTGTTCTACTCTTTCCCCCCTTCTCACTACTGCACTTGACTAGTCTTAAAAAAAAAAAAAAAAAAAGATAGATTGATTGATTTAGTCAACCTATAGCATGTATGCCCTGTGAGCAAAAGGTCACATACTGGCTTGTTCTTTCTTCCGGGGTATTTTAAACCCCAATGATACTACACAATTCTCAAGGATAGGGACTCATATGTTACATGCTGTAATAAGGAAAAGGCAGAACTGCTCTTCTATCTAGCTGAAACCCCAAGAGAAACCCTTCAGAGGCTCACCCGGCACTTGACCTCATCCCCGACATGGTACTTCTTCTCGGGATTCTTCATTGGGATGTCAGCCAGGTGCATGGCAGGTACCAGGCCCCTCATCTGCTCACCCACCTTCACTAGCATCCCAAATGGCTTTATGGTCATCACTGTGCCCTAGAAGAAAAGGCACCATAAAGTTCCAGAATGGTCTCCTCCCTCTTACGACAACAAGTCATACTCTTTCAAGCCCTCCCTCCTGGACTTACTACATCTATTATCCAGACCTTACATCCTCATGGATCTAGCCTTCTCCAGCTTTAAAGAAGCTTTCTACATCTTTTGGTTTATTTACTTATGAAGAATGGGGAACTGAACCCAAGGCCTTCACACTGAGCTGTATTACCAGGCTTTCTTTTTCTCTTCTTTTAAGACAGTCTTGCTAAGATACCAAATTTCCCAGGCTGGATTTGAACTGGTGATCTTCCTGCCTAAGCCTCTCAGAGTGCTGGGAGCACCACCAGACCTGCCTCTTTCACACCTTTTTGGCTGAACGAGTACTGCCATTTTCCAAGAAAGTCCCAACAGGAGGGAACTGTGCCTCCTCAGCAATGAGCTCGGCCTAGAAAGGTGAGCTGCTCCATGGTCGGAGGAGAGGCAACTCAAACTGTCATCTCACTAACACCCTAGGGAGCTCCATGATCACAGAACTAACATGCTGGTTAGAAGTTATTCTCCTAATAATTAGCACCAAATACCAAATTCTGGGACTTAAGACCAACTGCCTCTGGGCAGTTTGGTAGTAGTAGGTAAGAATTTGTCTATCAATTATAAGTTACCTAAGGGAAAAGAAACAAAATCTAGTTAGCAGGCAGAGGCAAGGTCAGTGTGTCAGCACAGGACTAAGGAGCTAAAAGGTAACCTGTGAACGACAGAATGCACAAAGCTGGAGGAGTAGCTCAGTGTATGGTTTTGGTCTTACCTTTATCACTGCTCCAGTTTTGATATCATGATATTTAAGGTACTGAGCTTCAATAACAGACCTACAACAGAAACAAAAGACAAGATGAGATTACTGAACTAGGTCTAGAACTATAAACTCAGGACTACAACAGTCATGCTGTGCCCTCCAGGCCAGGAAGAGAGGGTACACGTACAGGCGCACACCCCACATCCCACACGGGCTGGGAAGACTTACGTCCGCAGGGAGAGCAAGGCCAGCTCGTCCATTTGGCTGTAGTCAATAATTCTGCACTTGTGAGTGTTCCCTGGTTTGAAAGCCTCAGGTCTGAAGCCATTCTTAGAATCAGAGAGATGGCTGAGCTGGGAAACAGCAAATGACTGAGCATAAACCGAGACCACAGGTCTGAGCTGCCAGACTTCAAAGCAAACAAAGCAAGAAGACCCCAGCATGCTGAGTCCCCACATATCGTCACCCACCATAAAACAGAACCTTATTAACTTTTCTGTTTTGTTTTGTTTTTTGAGACACGGCCTTGCTATGCAATTCAGGGTGGCCTCAAACTTCGTGCGATCCTCTTGTTTCGAGCTCCCAAGTGCCAGGATTACAGGTGTGCACCACACCTGGCCTCTGATTTTCTCTTTACTGTCACAGAATTTCAACAGGATCTCAGAACAGGCTAGATCATGGGTTAGTGAACTGCACTCACAAGCCAGCTAAAAACAAAAGCGCTCTTGGAACAGAGCCACAGTCATTCATTTACAAACTGTTTATGGCTATTTTTACGCTACAACTGAGTAGCCAGGACAAAGACCATAGAGCCTGCAGGTCTAAAATATTCACTACCTCACCCTTTAATAAGAACTTGCTGGCATAGTTCCTCATTTTGTTTTTTTTTTTTTGTTTTTTTTTTTGTTTTTTTTTTTTGAGATAGGGTTTCACTATTTGTTATGCAGTTCAGCTGGTCTTGAACTCACTGTGTTCTCAGAGCTGGCTTCAGACTCACAGCAATTCTCCTGCCTCAGCCTCCCACATGCTGGGATTATAGGTATGTGCCAACACACCCAGCTAGATCCTAACTCTGGTTTTTTTTTTTTTTTTTGGTACTGGGAATTCAAACTTATGACTTTATGCTTGTCAGGCACACACTTGTGCCGCTGAGCTAAATCCCAGGCCCCCTAACTCATTCTTGAAAGTACCAAATATGGCAAGATGGTTCTGATGCATTGTACTATAAAAGATTCTGCTCCAATCCCTACCAATCACTGAATTCTAACAATAAGAAACTCATATCAAGAGATGAAGGAAGCAGAAAAGAAACAGAAGTTAACATGTGTCCCAAAGCTGTTTTGGTGAGATCCCTGCCCAAACCAAAAATGCCATACCCGAGCATAGGCCAAGGCCCCGTCCTTCAGCCTGAAGGTCGCCCCTGCCTTGTTGAAAAAGCCCTGGACAGGGACATCCTGCAGCACAGCTCCTAGGTGCTGGCAAGAGAGCCGAGTGAGTGGACGTCCAGGCTGCAGGAAGATGGGGCGCAGGCTTAGGCGCACAGCTCTGGTCCGAGGGTGCACACAGAGGACGCAGGCTCTCACCTAGACAAAAGGAAGGGCAAGGATGAGCAAGAGCCACATGGCAAACACTTGAAGTAATTTCTTTTTTGTTTTTTTCTGAGACAAGGTCTTACTATGCAATTCAGGCTGGTCTTGAATTTATTATGTATCCTAAAATGGCCTTGAACTAGAGTAATCCTCTTGTCTCAGCCTCCCAAAAGCTGGAATTATAGGTGTGCTCCACCTTACCTGGCTGAGAGCAAACTTCCAGGGTCAAGATTCCCTGAATGTTGACCAAAAATGTAAGTATTAAAATCTTAAGAACTAAGGTTAACCCATATAATCAAGCAGTGTGTAGAAAAGTCAAAATGTCCCAAAGGGACTTTGTCTGACTAAACCAATGCTTACTCAAGGCCAGGAAAACATATGCTGGTGTCCCCTCAACACCAAGAAGTGATGCATGTACAACAGAAAGCATGTACTGGTTCATTGCAACCTCAGCTTCTCTGAATGTGCCCCAAAAGCTTGGTCTAATCACAAGGTTAACACATACTAAACACCTTCACTTCACGCATATAAATGACCACAGAAAGCAGAACACTACCCCAGAGACCATCAACATGCCAACAGTATTGTTACTAGGTGGTAGAAAACAACTATTTTTTTAAATCTTTGTAGTATCCATAAGTATGCATTACTTTAAAAAAAAACATTTAAATATTCACGTTGTATACAATTTTAATATTTAAGTAAGTGTAGAAAAATGACATCAGGTTAATCACTATTAACATTCGATTGTTAATCACTATTAACAATCACTATTGACATCAATTAACTGACCCTTTCAGTGAGCCAGTGGCAGCCATAAACTGGGAGGACAAACAGGAGGCCAATTTGCCCTTCCTCTGAGCCAGCAGTAACTGTGGGTGGGAGGAGAAACAGGTAGTACCCTTCCCGTGAGCCAGCCATGCACGCTGGGAAACAAGAAGAGTTGAGATGCACCTGCTCATAAGCAACTTGCTGATTCAGAGGAACACAGACAGAGTTGACAGCAACTGAGGTACAAAAACAACTTAATGCTTGTATTGTCTGACTGACTTTGCAGACCTAAGGCTAGCCTTGAATTATTACATATCCTAAAATGGCCCTGAAGCATTTATTTGAGCATTTATTTAGAGGATGACAAGATGCAATATAGCAATTATGGGGGATTTTCTTCTGTCTTATTTTTGAAATCCAATATTGTTCTGTTTTATTTTGCCCTATTTTATTGTTTTGTTTCATTCAATGTTCTGGTTGGTTTTATTCTATTTTGTTTGATTTTATTATGTCTGAAGGCATGGGCAGCAATTTTGAAGATAAGGCATTATGGTAGCAGTTGTTGATTTCCTATTACACTGTTCTGAAGTCACTTTCACTGCTTTGCTTTGATTGTTTTATTGTTTTAGGTTGTTTGGCTTTATTCTCTTTAAACTAAATAAAAACATTTGATTGGATAATCTAGCATTTTAGCCAGGTGTGCTCTTTGTTTTTTTAAATCTAGTATACTACTCTAATTAATCAATCAACCTAAACATACGTAACTCTATGTTAGACACTTTTCTAAAACACTTTGTTATAAAAGCAAATGACTAACCAGGCATGGTGGCACACACCTGTAATGCCAGCACTCAAGCTGAGGAAGGAGGACTGCATGAGTTCAAGACCAGTCTGGGTGACATAGTAAGTTCAAGACTAGCCAGAACTATGTAGTAAAACCTATCTAAAAACAAAACAAAATGAACCACAAAAAAAAAAAAAAAGCAAATGACTTAACTGCCCCCAAACTCTGTGGAATATGGAGTAAACCTGCAAGCTGCCTCACTCTACCTGAATCTTCTCTAACCTCAACATGACCAGTGACCATACTTTGTGCTCCCTCGAAAACACTTTTTTGTTTGTTTGTTTGTGTTTCCTTTTTATTGGTACCAGGGATCGAACTCACGACTACCCACTTGCAAGGCAGGTGCTTTATGCCGCTGAGCTAAATCCCCAGCCCTGAAAACACTTTTTATCATTGCCCTCACCTCCTCTCTGTACAGCTGCAGTGTAATCCCAGGATCTGCCTGAGGCTGGCTGGGACACCGGACAGCTGCCTGAGACACAGCTGGAACCAAGAAAACATAGGGAACATTTCTTACTGTTTGATTTGAGAAATACATTCCAACTTTCTTGGGATCCAGGTGCATGAAGTCAACCAGGCCCGTGAAGAAAGTGAAGAAGTTCAGGGTAAGGCCAAACTGAGTCACCTAGAAACAAACAGGACACGTTGTCTCTCTGAAGAAAGCAGCACTGTAAGAGACACTGCTCACAGCATCAGGGATGAATGATTCTTCGCTGGGTAGCTCTCCTCGCCCTGCTAACCCTTAGTAATCTCTCTTCCTACAAAAGTAAAAGGCAAGACAAACCAAGCACTAGCTGTTTTTTTATTTAGTAAGCTCTCTTTCCTTCTAGCCTAACTGACATTGATTCTCTCATCCTCTGGATTTCTTAATGGGATGAGAGCTTTAAACAAGTATCCTTAGGGAACTACCAACCTGGCAACTTAAATAAATTGCTACTAATGTGGATATTCACCTAGATCAAGAAGGCAAAACCCAAATGCTTAAAGAAGGGGAGAGAATGACCAAGAACAAACTCATTCACCCTCCAGCACCTCCCCAAAACTAAGATAACAAGCACCTCAAAAAAGATCTGTGAGCCGGTACAAAAAAAAAAAAAAAAAAAAACAAAACACAACGATCTGTGGGGAAAGAAACTGAAACCAAGAAACCAAGTCAGCTCCCTAGCTCGTCTTCTCACCTACAGGACCCATCCTTTTCCCTCTGCCACAGAAAACAGGACACTTTTTTTTTTTTGTGAAAGCTTGATCAGAATCAATACTACAGGAGGATGCAAGTCCTACAAATGTAAATAAAGAAAACTTCTGGGCATCATACAGATGTGAAGACATGCGTCTCTTTGTCCCACACTCAGCCATGCTTACACTCTCCTGGGTGCAGATTACTGGGCCCTAAGATGCCAGAAAAGGTCTACAACAATGACATCTGGGGGCTGCATAAAGAAAATTTGCAAGCTCCTGTTTCTTTCTTTCTTTCTTTTTTTTTGGTTTCTTTGAGATGGGGTCTCACTATGCAGTTCAGGCTGGACTTGAACTTGCAATGATCCTCCTGCCTTAGCCTCCTGAGTGCTAGGATTACAGGCATGCACCACCATGCCTGGCTAAATTCCTGTTTCTGACAGTGAAATTGATCAACCAAAAAAGAATTTTAAAACAGGGTAAGGATTATTGAGCAGACAGAAGATATCCTATTGGCTAATAAAGATGCTCAACCCCATTAATCATTAGGAAAATACAAAGCAAAATCACAATGAAATACAGCTTCACACCTGGACTTCGATAAAATCATGTCTTGAAATACCAAAAATCAAGGGAAAAGCAAAACAAAACTCAATGCCTAAGATCAAAAAGAGATATGAGGGGCTGGGGGTTTAGCTCAGCGGCATAAGTGCCTGCCTTGAAAGCAGGCAGTCGTGAGTTCAATCCCCGGTACCGATAAAAAGGAAAAGACAAAAAAAAAAAAAAAAAAAAAAAAAAAAATGGTATGAGCAGAAGCTTCTTACTCTGAAACATAAAGGTAAAATTACAAAAGCTAAGCTAATAAAGGTAGAGATTAGAAGAGATGATATATTTCTTCATTATAAGCCTTTTAATATCCATTGACCTTTCAGATCTGTCCAAAAGAAATAAAATGTGACCCAAATATGTAACTTTAGCTGAGCATGGTGGTACATGCCTATAATCCCAGCTCTTAGGAGGCTGAGGAAGTTCAAGGCCAATTTGAACTGAATAGTGAGAGCCTATCTCAAAAAGAGAAAGCAAACAAGCAAACAAAAAAGTAACTTTAAGTATTTTGGCCTATTTTAAAATCTACAAACAGGTGATTTTTTTTTCCCCCTAGCACTGGGGATCAAACATAGGGCCTCACACAGTTAGGCAAGCACTCTATCACCAAGCTACCCAACTACCCTGCAATTTATTTAGTAAGTTGATGTAATCCAGTGTGTCCCTTTTTTTCTTTTTTTTTTTTTTTTTTTTGAGTACCAAATAATGAGCTATAGACCCAGCTCTTGCCAGGCAGGAGATGTGCCTCTGAGCTAAATCCCTGGCCTAAAACATTATTTTTAACAAATGCCACTGGCCACATTTTAAATGCTCAGTAGCCACAGAAGACTCACAGCTGCCTTCTCCAGCATTTTAGACTGCACGTGCATCAGTGCTTTAACAGTAACTGCTTTTCTTTTAGAAAATGATAGTAACACAAACAGCTCACCTTCTGCACCTGAGCCTGGAGCACCAGTCCTGGTAGCAAGTTATTCAGGTTCCAGTTTTGTTCCTGAGTAGCAATGGCAGTAGAAATCTCTGACTGCTCTATGGACAGGCCAACAACTCCTCCATTGCCTTTCATCTCCTCGATGATGCAGTTCAGGTATTGACCCACTTTCAGTTTAGCACCTGTAAGTCCAGCCCCAACCCCAAAAGGAAAAATGTATCACTGAGAAGGACCTTTAACATAGGTCCTAGTGGAAAGCACTCATGGCTTACCTTCCCAGTTAGCATCTAACACTCCCCACATTCCTAGTCTCTAAGAGACCAACTCCAAGAAAGGAATGAAGTTGCCTTAAGTACTCTGGAATTCAACCGCTCCACAAAAACATGAAAATTTCAATAAGCTAGGGAAGTTCAGGGGCCGAAATACAGTAGAATCTTCTCAGTGAGGAAAACAGAACCAACCCACCAGCACTCAGTGAGACTGTAGCACCCCCTAGCCCTTCAACAGCTTCCCTTTCCTACCAGCGAGGATTAAGCACTAGTTTTCCAGAAGCCAGTCTTAGTTCACGATTCTGTCTCACTTCTCACCAAAGTGGCATTTCAATATTACCCTCATATGTATAACCTTAGCAGCAGGCACAGCCTCTCTTCTGGCCCTCACCTTTGTTCTTCTGTCGGATGTATTCCTGGGCTTTCTGCTGTGGCAGAAAAGCTCTGGTCCCCTCAACACCAATGTCCACTAGGTAGCCATGGTCTTCCAGGCTGGACACGGTACCTGTCAGCAGCTGGGAGAAGAGGAAACATTCCCCAAAGTTCTAAGTCAGAGGTTATAATGGACAATAAATATCAACTAGCAAATGTGAATGTTCCCACCATTAATCTCATTGCTGTCCCATAATTCACCTTCCAATTTTAACTTTAAACCACAATCTCACTAGAAGACAGACGAGGGGAAAGACTTAGGTCATGCAAAGAGGGACAGAACCATGTGGCCTTACAAAGGCACACCCAGAGTCACAGCTACCAAGAAAATCCAGAGCTACTCTCCAACCATTAGTATCTTTCAAACACCTCCAAGCCTCAAAAATCCTACTGACTTTCTCAACATTTCATGGGAAGCACATGGCTCTGACAAAACTACTTGGTCTCTGGTAAGTCACACCTTTGAGTGCCCAAGGAAGAGAACATCTGTCTGCGGTAGAATGCACAAGATCAAGTGCCTGTGAGACCATCTGCCATGGAACAGGCCGCATTTTTATCCAACTAAGGCCATTCCCAAACCTCATTGCTTCTAACCAAACACTGCAAGAGCGTGTTGATCACCTCAATGTAACTACCAGAGTACTTACAGGAATGCAGCTTCTGGCTCTGCACCAGGATTAATTTTCCTGCACCTCCATAGAGATACAAAGTAGTGGGAGACATATGCACACAGCTGGCAGATGAACTGACTGTCGCTCCTATCTCCTGCTCCCAAGAGGGCCTCAAATATCACACACAAATGCCAGAGGCCTCTGAAGAAAACTAACTCTGCGAAGCTTGAGGAGGAATTCCTCACTGCCATCAAGTCCCTACACAGGCTCCCTGTGGGCATTTTTTATGATGTCACCACTGAAAACTGGCCTTGCTTTCTCTTTCTCCTCTCCAATGTAATGAAATGAGGTTCATGTTTTCAGTATTCACTAAAGCACCCAACCACCCCAGGAAGCCTTCCTTACAGGACAAGACTCACTTCTACAAGGAGAGATTAGGCTGACACTAAGGGGTAGCCTCAACCAGAACACCCAGGGCACTGGGCAAGAAGTTATAGGGCCAGATCCTCACCTGTGACCCAGATACATACCATGCCAGGTTTCAGGGCCTCAGCACTCAGTACTCTGTTGACATTTCTGGGGTTCAGAGAGAGCTTGACACTCTTCTTGCCCTGCTCTGTAATGCTCACGCTGCTCACCACACATCTCACAAGCATTCCAAGTGAGAAAAGTTCAGGCAAGCGGAGTAGGTCCTGCATAACACAAATGACAGAGACCTGATGTCTACCTTTATCCTGAACCAAGAATCCACCACCTAGTGACTTCTCATTCTCCAGTCTCAGAGGATGCAGGAGGTGAATGACTAGTAACGATGCTGCCTATGAAGGAACACAGCTTTTGCAGCCAAGTCACAGCTTTGAATTTCAGCACAAGGCCTCCAAATAGTTCAATGTATACCAGGCATATATTAATGATCTGTTAAGGGTTGACTCAACTTAACTGACTCTGCCTTATCTCCTACTCTGTAAAATACTTCCAACCCCCACTCTATCACTTTATCTCCCAAAAATATCACCGCTACGTCCACGTCCCTAAAACCAATGGTCTGTTTTGCAGTCCTTTCTTGCGTGGTCTGTATCTGCTTACTTACTTACTTTGTATTTATGCATGCTGTTATAGATGAAATGCAGGCTTCGTGCAAGCTCATTGCACTCTACCCTGAGCTAGTCTTCCTACATGACCTTTAAAAAGCACTCAACACTATATACTCCTTTCTTTAAACCTTTCATCCCCTTGTTCTCCGTGCCCTATACTGCTTTATCTGATGCAACTCTCCTTCAACACAGCAATTAAAATTAAAATGTGTTTATTCTATGGACTTTTAGGCTCTTCTCACTCTAACTGCTACCCACAAGCAACTTTATCCCACTTCATAGCCTCATTCGCCACCTAAGGCCCACATCTCCATGCCCAGCACCCACTGGATGTCTCTACTGTACCTACAACTCAGCACGCCAAAAAGGCAAGTTATAATCCTCTCCCCCATCAAATCCTGTACAACTGCCCTTGAACCTGCCCCCAAACCTCTGCCTCACTGTCAATACTAAATTTTTCATTAGGATATGACTTATTTCTCAGTCCTTAGTAGCTCCTGGACACAAGGTACTTCAATCTCTGAGCTTGGACTACTAAAATTATCTCTTAACTGATCTCTAGCAATTTTTCCTGCCTTTTCAGTCTATTTGCTATGGTGTCTACCTGTCACCCACCCTAACGAGAACATTTCAAAAACACCTAGAATTTAAACCAACCCTTAATGTAGCCTGGAGAACTATGGGTGAGCTCGTTTCCACTCAGCTCTCTGTCCTACACCACTCTCTCCCCTGCTCTCTCTAGCCTGCTAACGTTGACCTTCTCCGTCACACTGCATGCTGCGCCTCTGCCTGAACACTCTTTATTCTGTCCTTCCGATTTCAGCTCAAACAGCCCTTCTTCACAGAGGTCTTCCTGGTTCTGAGGACCAAGTCAAAAGCCCCTTTAATTGTTTAAAAAATAACATACAAACTCCTTATTACAAATTTTTATGACATCTAAGCTTTTTCAGCTGAGCACTTAGGCAAAGTGATAATTTTACATTTTACCACCTAAAGGTTTCATCCAGATTTTCCTCACCTTCAAAGGTTCCTCTTGTGCCACCTGTTCATTCAGCTTTTGGGTATAGGCATCACAGATTTCAGTCACTTGCACAAACCCCTGGAGGCCATTGGGCAGGCCAATCACCAGTTCCAGCTCATTTACCTCTTTGACGCAACCCAAAATCCGCATTCCCTTGCACAGGGACTAGAAAAGAAAGAGTAAAACATGCACAGTGAAAAAGAAATAGATGATAGAAAAGTTACAGAGTCTGGCTTTAAGGCTCAACGCTGACATGTAAAAGCTACAATTAATAACTAAATAGAAATAGATGTATGTGTAGATATGTTATCAGATATCTGATCATACACTACGAAAGATCGGACAGCAGCAACAGGAGCACTGAGTTGTTAGGGTATACCTTTGCCTTCCAGCATGTCCCAAGCAACACAAACTCAAAACACCTGGCAGATGACACAGGGGAGAAGGCAGGCCAAGGGAGACAAAAAGGGCAGCGTGCAGCACACATGCTGGCTCGGACAGGCACAACCCGTACGCAGCAGCTGGTGACTGCATCAGCACTTAGAGATCTTCATAGGGAACAAATAAACCACTCCAATAGGCTGAATCTCAGTCTTTTACTCTAAAAATCATCTGACTTTCTTTTCTGTTTTATAACTAACAAAAAATTGAAGGTTATAATCTAAACCTTTAAGAAATGTAGGACCATATCACTTCTCTGAAGTCAGTGAGTATCTACAAAATGCATAGGATTAATGACTGCTGAAGTTAACTGACCATTCTAACCTCTGAATCTACCAATACGTAAGTCTAACAAAAACACCAGCAAAAACATCAAGTCAACTTTAAAAGAATTCCAGGCACTGGTTAGCAGTCAAAGGAAATAATGCTTAATTCTCAGCAGGATTTGCAAAAATCTCTACAGACACATGCATGATTTACATATGTGTATAGTATGTGAGAAAAAGAATGAAGAAAAAAAGAGGAAAGAACACACACAAACTTAACCAAGGTAGTATGTTTAAAGAAAACCAAACTTAACAAACCTCAACACTAAGGATTTCAAACTTCTCTTTTACAGACTTGGCCTTCTCTCTCTTTTCAATTTTCAACTTTTTTGTTTTTGCTGGACCATTCTGATTCTTTTTCCTTTTGGTGGATTCTTCTTCAATGGAAATCTAAAGGGAAAAAAATGACACACAAAGGTCCAAAAGAATGAGAAGCAATAACCTTTCCCTCATATTTTGAGTAATTCGTCACCTTGCTGTTACTATTAGTCTCCCATTCCACCTCATCCCACTCCCAAATGCCCCATGAAAAGCTACATTATTTTCAACTATATAATCTCCCTGAGCCTCAGCTATTTATCATGGAGTTGTAATTTCTATTTTATAATATAAAATAGTTGTAGACATCACATACTACACTTGAGGCCATGCATTCAAAAATCAGTTCCCTTACCTCTAGCATCTAAAATACAGTCTATTCCAGGTCAGACCACAATTCCTAATGAAAATTCTGACAGTTAAACATGATAAAAACCTCTTTTAAAAACAAAATGATAGAGGCTAGGGATTTAGCTCAGCAGCATAAGCGCCTGCCTTGCAAGCTTGTGGTCGTGAGCTTGATCCCTGGTACCAGTAAAAAAAAAAAAAATGATATGAAGGTGGGTGTGGTGGCACATACCTGTAATCCTAGCATTAGGGAGGTTGAGACAGAATGAGGACAGCCTGGGCTACATAGCGAAACCCAGCCTGAGCTACATAGTGAGACCCAGCCTGGGCTACACAGTGAGACCCAGTCTCAAAAACAAAACAAAACAAAACCACCAAATAATAACCAAACTGCTTTTTTTTCCATTCTTAATTCCTAATGACAAAATATACTTCATGCTCAAAACACTCAATGTCATGCTTTAAAAGATAGGGTTTTTAATGTTGTTATAGTCTCTCTAACAAGTTCAATTTATAGAAATGGATCTTTGGAAGAAACAAAACTGGAAAATAAGGATTATTCTTCTCTAAGATGCTAGAAAGTAAGTCTCTAGTGATTTTCACCAAAAAAAGCATACCACTTACATCAAATAAGTTGCCATGTTCAACTGACGGCTGGTGAGACTTCTCTGATTTGTGGATCTTTCTTGAACCTCCTCGAGGAAAGCTTTCTTCCAGGGCTGCCATGTCTGGGTCTCCTAAAAGCAATGCAAAGGATAATGGTGAGAAAACCTGGTGTGGTGTCATGTGCCTGTAATCCTAGCACTTGGGAGCCTGAGGTGGGAGGATAACTGTGAGTTAGAGGCCAGCCTGGGCTATGAAGTAAGTGCAAGGCCAGCCTAAACCGCACAGTGAAACCCTGTCACGTTAAAAAAAAAGAATAACCATGAGAGATAGCAGTAGTCCAGGTTTCACAAAGACCAGAATTGATGGGCAAGAAAACCTTCTGGTAATGTGCTCAGTAATATTTGGGGCTATGACAGATGGTTGGGATCTGAGATCCCAGTTATTAAAATCACTACTTTTTAAAAGGTTTTTTCTTCAAAACTACAAATCACACTCCTTCCTCCACAGAGAAGTTACAGATTCCATATAGAAAAGTCGTTAAATAGCTACTATCATTTAGGTCAGACGTATATATAAACCTTACTTTCAAGTGCACTTTTACAAGATAAAACAGCTATGCAAGCATTCGAAAATACAAACCAAAATATATACAATAAGCAAGGAAGTAGAATTGATAAGGTTTCTGTGAAGGAGGTAAGCTTCAAAGAAGATGCTTTTGAGGTGATGTTACAATATGTACAGTGTGACAGGGAGAAAAATATTTTGGAAATTCAATCCTTAATCTCCTTTCAGAAAGAAACTGAGGCTCCAAAAGCAAAGGGTATCTTTCGTTTAGCAGAGGAGGGACCTAACGCTGTCTTCCGAGGACAGTCTGGCGTCCCACGAACCACGAGAGCAGAAGTGGCTCCAGTGGATGAACCACTCACCCCGACCGGAGGAAGCGTGGCAGGGATCCGGGGGCCCTGGCCCTTGGGCAGACCGGAGAGGCACGAGATTTCTCCTTTTCTTGCTTCTGCGCCCACTAGCCAAGTTCCCAGGGCCAGCACCTTTTTATCTTAGAGCCCCAGAGCCCGAACTCACACACGTGAATACCAGGGATTCTGTGACACTAAGATGCTCTTCCGGGGGCAGTGGGCGGGCTCTATGCCCTACTTCCGTTGCTACCTCTGAACCTCCCGACTAGAAGGTACTGGGAGACCGGAAGAGGAAGGGCGGGACTTGGCTCCCCAGCCAATCGACGGAGAAGACTGAGTCGCAGCCTGCTTGGAAGGCCCATTGAAAGCGTGCGGAGGAGGAGGCTTCTTCCGGCAGGGCTGTGTAAGGTGAAGGACGTCGGCTGTGGAGTTTGTGTCTCTGGCGAGGTGAGTGGAAAGGGGCGCCCGAGATCGAGCTTTGTGTTTCAGCATTGCAGGGATAACTCATATCTGCCCGTTTCTGGCTTGGCAACACGGCAGGGTCTTCGCTTTCAGGGGCGGAACAGTGGGAAGTGAGAAAAGAGCCGGAGAGACGGGGTCGGTACCCGCGGGCGCGGGCAGCAGCCGGGAGCCCGGAGGGCGCGGTGGACTATCGCCTAACCCCTGGGGACTCTTAAATTGCATTTTGCACTGGACTGAGATGCGCTGTGAAGGGAGACCCTCAAGGTCATTCTAGGCGAGGACTCGGGCGTCTGAGCCCCGTCTCTGGCCGAAGTCGCCTGTTTTCATCTCGCGAGCTGCGATTGGGAAGCTAGCAGCCAGGCCTCCGTTAGCCGCGCGGCCAGGCCCCTGCAGCTCCCCGGGCCCGCGCGCTCTGAGGCCCGGGTTTCAGGCTTTCTTGTGGGAGCCGGGGACGGAGCGGCAGGCTCCCCGAGGAAGCTCAGAGACCGCTTCTCGGCCCCGAGCGGCTCGCATCCCAGTTTGCTCCCAGCACCCCAGGTAGGTGTCTCGTCGGGCCGGAGAAGAGCAGTGTCGGAGGACAGAGCCTACCCAGGGCCGCCCCTACTCAGAGCAGGTGCTCGTTGGCAGACAGACGCGGGGAGAGAGGGTCGGTCGCTTTTTCACAGTAGTTAGCGCCTTAATCAGGCAGAGGCCCTGTGTGTTTAGACTTTCTCCCAGGTTGTCGTTTAACAACATTAAAACTCAAGTTCCCAAGTATGTCTTATTAATTTTTCTCCTTCACTAATGTTTAGAAAAACCTGTGACTTAAGGGAAGCAAGTGTCAGTTCAGTTATTCCACAAAGATCACTCCCAAATGAGACTTCATGATCTTCGCCCTGCAGTAACCAGTCCTTTGCTGCACGGTGCAGACCGAGGTGTTAGGGGGCTTACTCACATTGTCCTGTCTCACTTGCAACACCACCACTCTCCCTTCATCACAGCCTCTTGTGAAACCTCATTTAAAATCTACACTGAATTTCAGTTCCTATGCCATGCCTTTTCCTGCGATCAGAATGTCTTCTTAGGAATACCACAAGCATCTGTCCTACTCCCATGTGCAGAGTGAAATTTTACATCTCACTTGAACACTACATTCTCCAAAAAAATTTTTGCTAGGCATGTTGCTTGGGAATTGTCAGTTAACAAGGTGATATTGTAGTGTTTTTCAAAAGAACCTACTTAACGAAATGAATGGGGAAAATATGCCTTTAATAGATTTAGAAAAATAAGAGTTGACAGTAAAACGGGCCCAGAGTGGTAGTGCGTTCCTGTAATCCCAGCACTTGGGAGGCTGAAGCAAGAGGCTTGTTGTGAGTCCGAGGCCAGCCTGAACTACATAGCAAAACCCTGTCTCAAAAAGACAAAAAAAAAAAAAAAATTAATAATAAAACTTCATCATAAAGATTTTTTTTTTTTTTTTTTTTTTGGTCTTTTTCCTTTTTATCAGTACCGGGGATCGAACTCACGACTGCCTGCTTGCAAGGTTATGCCGCTGAGCTAAATCCCCAGCCCCATAAAGATTTTTTTAATGGAAAGTTTCAAACGAGTTAAACTGGCCAAGGTCATGAAGCAATCTAGGAAATTTAGATTTCCCTCACCAAGAACCTGTCTTAAAAATTGCTCAAAAATAAAACCTTAAATTGTCATTGCCAATTCTCTCCATGTGAATGCCTCCAAAGGCCTTAGAAAGGTAAACAGAGAAGAGCCAGTTTCCATAGCGATGACTCCCTCACTGATCTCTCCCTGTTCCATTTCATGGAGAGCCTGCAGAGTCACTGCCACTGCCTACTGATCTCCACCAGACCTCTGCCAGCTCGGCTGTGCTACCAATCAACTCTGTGTAGCTTTGGTTGTGGTAGACAGGTAATCACACACACAAATTTTCAACTGTTGTTCTCTGGTGACCTTTTGAATGTCTGTATTTCCTATGACAAGAGAAATACAGGCCTTTGTAAATTACACAGGCATGATAGACCTGATCCCTCTTAAAAGTTTGCTAAATAGTCTCCGGAACTTCAGTGTGTGTTAGAATTATCTACAGGCTTTGTTAATACATTGCTAGAACTTGAGTTGTTAATTCAATAAGTCTATAATATGGCCAGAAAATTTCCATTTGTAACAGATGGCCAGCAACACTAATACACTGGCCTAGGGACCAGATTAGAGAATCATTAATGTGCTCTATACTATATTATCCAGAAGAATGATTTTTTTACTATTTTGAGGTTTTTGTTGTTTGGTTTGGTTTTGATTGAAAGAGGGTGTCATATAGTTCAGGCCCGCTTTGAACTCATGGCAATCCTCCTGCCTCAGCCTCTTGAGTCCTAGGATTTCAGGTATTCACCACTGTGCCTGGCAATTTTTATTATTTAACATTACTTTAGGGTCCTCTTTCCATGTCAATACACAAAAGGTTTATCTATATTTCTGCTAATGAAAACCATTGTTTATCAGTCTTGCATAGGTGGACTTTGTTTTTCCAGTTTTTCACTTTCATACACAGTAAAAAGCTGGGCATAGTAGCTCATACTTGTAAGCCCAGCATTCTGGAAGCTGAGACAGGAAGATCACATGAGTTCAAGATAAGCCTGGGCTACACAGTTGAGTTCAAAGCCAGCCTGATCTGCATAGCAAGACCCTATCTCAAAAATATTTCAGTGACTATTCTTGAACCACATAATTTCCACTTTATGATATTCCTGTAAATGTGAATTCTTGAAGAAGAAATGAACCAGCTAGATGGAAAGATATACTTATTATAAAATTTGATAGATATTCCAAATTGTATTTTAGGAAGGTTATATCCATTTACACTCCAAGCAACAAAATGCTGAGTTGCATGTTCTTATTCCAGTTTTTCATTTTCAGTTCTTACAGTTTTATCTGTGCTAGTTTAATGAGTAAATATTAGTTTCATTTTACATTTCTTTGAAAATGCATTGTTTTGCCTTTTTCATTCCTGGTATTATATTTTGCCTTTGCCAAGATGATTAAAATTTCCCATGGTTGGTTTTTGTGGTTTTGTGTTTTGTTTTTTTCTGGGAATTGAATTCAGGACCTTGCACTTGCCAGGCAGGCTCTTACGGTGCTGAGCTATATCCCCAACCCCCTTCCCATGTATTCTTTCAGAACTTTTTGGTTTCATTGTTTACATTAACATCTTACTTTGGTGTAAGAAGTAAAGAATTCTGCTCCCCATCCAACAATGGCTAGTACCTCAGTTCTACTTAGTAAATGATCCCTTCCCCACCCAAGAAGTCCTAAAGTGATTTATAAGAAAAATTATAAAAGTAGGGGTTGTAAATTATGCTATTTAGTTAGCAATCACCCCTTTGAGAAACTTTGAAAAATATCACAAGGTGCTAGTCTTAAAACTGGTTAATTTGCACCGATGTTTATAGCTGTACAACCTGCAGTACCCATAATAGCTCAAAAAGTAATCTTGGAGCAGCTCATTTGTCCATCAACAGGTAAATGGATTTTTAAAATGTGTTTATACACAACAGAGTACTCTTTGCTATAAAGAAGAGATGAATTTGAGTCATTTGCAGGAAAGTAGGTACACTTTGAGACTACAGACAAATAAATCAGACACACAAAACTTAAATATTACATGGTTCCTCTAAAGTAAGAAACCCAAAGTAAGGCTGGGTGTGGTGGTACACACCTGTGATCCCAGCACTCAGGAGGATGAGACAGAAGAATCACTGTGAGTTTGAGACCAGCTTGAATTGCATAGTGAAACCCTGTCTCAAAAAAATATTAACAGCAAAATAAAAAATGGGTGACAGGAAACAGACATACAGCTTTTGCCAATGAGGAAGGGGCACCACAAGCTGGAGGAGACATAAAGAGAATTAAGATACATAATGTATATGTACCAATTCCCCATGTAGAGTGTAGTATGTGCCAACACACATGCACTAATAAAAACATTTTTTAAGACCCAAATTTTAGAACTTCGAAAAATTCAATGTACCAGTGTGGACAGAGCCAGGAATAGAAACAGTGAACTACGCTGAGTCAGAGGGTAGACTTAATGAATATTTGTGTGTTTTCTATGTTAAGTGCTGTGATGTGTCCTGCAGTGTTTATGAAATAACAGTCAAGTTAAAGTCCTACTTGCAGAACCTTCCTAAACCTTTTCCATCAGCTTTGCTTCCACTGGGCAAAACATGGATAAAAAGTTTACAAGAATTATACACAATGATTTTTAACATTTAAAACAATTTTTTTCTTTTGAATTATAGCAAAATCAATTTATTATTTTCTTTTTTTAAAAGATTGAAATCATGGCAGGTCCAGAAACCGATGCCCAGTTCCAGTTCACTGGCATCAAAAAATACTTCAACTCTTACACTCTCACAGGTAGAATGAATGTAAGTATTAATGATACCTTTAAGCCGTTATATTTTAGAATAATATAAACATGGCAGTAACTTGTTTACATTTTTCAATTTCAGTGTGTACTGGCCACATATGGAAGCATTGCTCTGATGATTTTGTACTTCAAGTTTAGGTCTAAAAAACAGCCAGCTGTGAAAGCAACCTAAATGGTAAGCTAGCATTTAAAACTTTGTAACATGTGGTACAGGCTTGGAATCCCAGCTGTTTCTCATGCTGAGGCTGGATCAATTCATGATCAGCCTCGCCAATTTAGTGAGACCCTGTACTCAAATAAAATTTTTAAAAAAGCTAGAACTGGCGCTCTCTGGTAGAATGTTTGCATAACATGTTCAAGGCACATGGCTTAATCCCCAGAATTGGTTTTTTTTAAAAAAAAGTGTAACTCAGCATTTTATATTAGTCACTATTAAAGTAATTATCATTTTGCAGAATTTATTGCATACAGAAAATATATTGCCTATATATTTTATTACCCTACAATTTTTGTTAACAGTTTGCCTTAGCCTTTTTTACGTGTTTGATTTCCAAAGGCCATGATCACATCTATAATTTTATAAAAAGCATTTTTTCATGATTTGAATGCATGTGTGTTTATAAGTATTTTTCACAGAGGAAATGTCTCATTGTAATTTGTAAAAAGTGCTGAGTGTGGTGGTACTAGCAGTCAGAACACTGTGGCAGCAGGATCACTTGAGTTAAGAGGCCAGCCTAGGTTACAAAGTGAGTTCAAGGCCAGCCTGAACTTCATTCATAGTGAAACTGTCTCAAAAGGACAAAAGAATTCTTTTTAAATAATTATCAATGAATGCTTTGGACCTGAATTCCTATCTGACTGTTTTCTTAGGTTAATGGATCATGAGGCACCCAGCTTTGTAAGAGTGTGCCCTTCACTGTCACTGTTGTGGGTTACTGTCAGTTTTTTGGTTTGCTCATTTGATAAGAAAACATTGTTTCAGTTGTACACCACTCTGTATGCGTAATCTCACCTACTTGGCAGACTAAAGCAAGAGGATCATACCTCCAGGACAATCCTGGACAATTTAACAAGACACTTAAAAAAGAACTGTCTTAAAAAAGAACTGTGGAGGCTGGGGATTTAGCTCAGTGGTATAAGTACTGCCTGGCAAGCATGAGTTCAATCTCTGGTACCAAAAAAAAAAAATCGGGATGTAACTCCAGGCTCCCTGGATTCAGTCCCCAGTATGGGGATGGGAGGGTCTCTTACTTTTTCTTCTGTTTTTATTTTTTGTAACATTCTATTCCTGTCCTTATTGAACAGCTGGTGACTTGTGTAAACTCATCATGTAATAATTAACTTTTCTTTGCTTTTTACAGAGTTGGGGATCAAACCCAGGGCATTGTGCATGCTGAGTAAGTACTGTCATTGAGCTCCACCTCCAGCCTGGATTAAACTTCAGTTGTTTGTTGTCTTTTGGTGGTTTGTTTGCTAGCTTCATATTTTCATATAATCAGTTGTCTTCTCAGCTCCTTTAATGGTTTCTTATGTTACCCTCGCAACCCTACTTAATAAGATATGTAGGAAGCCCAAAATCCAGATCTTCATCTACTATAATTCTCCTTCATAGATAAATTTCTCCTGTATTAAGAGCTTTTCCAATCTGAGAACTATTGACCTTAAGAGATTGCATATTCCAGAACGCAGTGGCCTGTGGCTTATGCCTAACACGTAGTTCTTTAGCTAATCTCCCAAATAATGTAACTCCTACCTGGGAGGGTGGCAGTACCCAATTAAAATGGAAAATTGTCTCACATTAAGATGTATATCTTTTCTAATTTAAAATGTTACTTTATATACTGGATTTGTTTTTTATGTTTATATACTAGATTTTTCCATTAATTAATTTTCAGAATTTTAGTGAATTGCAAGCAGCTGTTTCATCAAAGGCAGAGTGTTTGGGACTGAGGATGTACCCAAGTGGTAGAGAATTTGCCTAGCTTGTAGGTCCTAGGTTCCATCCCCAGAATGGGGAGAGAAAAAAGTATCAACCTGAGAGACACCTTAATTCTTTGGGTCTTACTGACTCCTCTGAAAACTGGACAGACTTAGGTTGAATTTCTTTAGGGTTCAGTGGATAGTCCTGTCCTCATCATTACTAAATGTCTTTATTAAAAATAGAATTAAACACATTTGTGTCAAAAACTGTTTTTGCTTTTTCTATAGGACTTTACAATGTTTGGCTTCACCTGTTAAGTTCCCATGCCTGGAGGAGCCAATGTCAACTCATCATGTAATACTCAATTTGTACAATAAATTATGAACCTGGAAAAGCTGGTTGTCTTTATTTACAAGGTATCAAAAATATAAAAACTGTACAAAATGCAACAAAGGCAAAAATTGGCAGTGACTTGGTCTAAATCTTTTAGTTTTCCAAAGCAAGGCTCAGTACTGGAGGTAAGCAACTAAAAATGTCTGTCTGACTTCAAGTGTTCTAGGTCTTATGTAGCCATTTTAGCTGAAGTAGAACATGGAAGCTAAGTTTTTTCATCTGGTATAGTGTTTACACTCAAATAGGCATAAGTCTAAACCAAGATGTTAGTGGACGGTTGTACTTCATCTAAATCTTAGGAAGAGTAGTTTACCCTGCCTAGTTACATACATTCCACCAATCACAGGCCAAGAAGAAATGTTAGTGGATCATTTAACATAGTACTTGAGTGCCATACGGTAACTTCGTTTTTTACAGCAGAAACATACATGCTCATAGAATGCTTCAGCTAAAATTCAAGATGGTATTATATTTCTTAATTTGAATCTTGAAGCAGGATGAATTTTTAAATCAAAATTTTCTGAACATAATAAATTAAAGTAGCATTTGAACAGAAAATGCATAGTTTCCACACAATCCAAAGCACCATAAATGTCCCTTCCACGAACATAATACCTCTTATTCAACTAACGGAAATCAGTTAAATGTGGTTGCCATAGAAACACGGAGCTGTCCTATTCAGATTTTCCAAGCAGCATACTTCCAGATTCATACAGACAAAAACATTCTTTGTAGCTTAAATATTAATCACTGAGGTATTTGCTTTTTAGACTCCCTTTTTCAAACAGTAGCTTCCAAAAAGTCTTAATACCAATGGTTCATTGTGGACTGTAAGCTCCTGCAGCTAGAACCAGGTTTCTTCGAGTAAAGTGAAGGTGTACCACTGGCGTTGATTTGGTCATGTATGTACCCAACAATAACTCCTGTGAATTCTCAGGTAAATTTATATGCCCAGTGGCTGTGGTAAAGTCATCAGTCTCTAAATCTTCAAATGCTTTGATGGCATCCCACAACCGGACTGTGTTATCCATTGACCCTAAAGGGAAATCAAAGGAAACCATTAGTTACAACCATCATATTTAGATTCTGACATTTTACCATTATACTTCATGAGTTTATTATAAATTTCAGATGAAAAAACCTAAGTCTTTACCATAAAACCATTAATAATCATTTACCTGATGCCAAAATTTCACCATCTCTACTAAACCTAAGTGAACAGACGGTATCAGTGTGGCCTTTTAATTCTCCAACCATCAAACCATGTCCAATATCCCAAAGGAGGACTCTACCATCTGTTGCTCCTGTAGCCAGGAATCTCCCATTGGGAGAAAATGTCAAGGAATGAATGGGTCCCTAGAAAAGTCCATGAAAAACATCAAGAGTAGTGGTAAGTATATCTACAGAAGTAAGACAAAGTTAGAATTTTAGGTTGGCGGTATGGTATCTTTAAAATACTTGTGCCACTGGGTAGCTTGAAATTTTTTTTTTTTGGTACTGGGGATCGAACGCACAACTACGCACTTGCAAGGCAGGCGCTTAGCTTTTGAGCTAAATCCCCAGGCTCTTGAAAATATTTTTATCTTTAAAACATCTTTATATGCTGCAGTAACTAGAAGTAAAATACCTTGTGTCCAGTGAAGATCCTTACACAGTTACCATTCAGAACATCCCAGAGCCGCACAGTTCTGTCTGCAGAGCCCGTGGCAACATAATTGGAGTTTGGGTGGAATCTGGTACAATTCACATCAGCAAGATGGCCAGCAAATATCCTTAAAGGCTGATAATGATCTGTAGCCCAGAGCCTTTATTCATTAAATGTTATGAAAATCAAAAGATGATAATAGTTAACAACAGAATGCCAAAATTCTACCCAAAATAACTAAAAATGCCCAGGTAAAAATTTTCCAAATAAGTCCCTCTTGAAAAGCAACTGAGGGAAAAAAGACAGAATGACTGAGACTAATATTATAAAAGAGTTGATCTGGTACGTGATTACGGTGTGAGAGTTGTTTCTGATACACGGCAAGCAATAGGTCCATACAGTGTTTTTTAAACGTATTTTTGTGACAGGTCTTGCTATGTAGTTCAGGCTGGTCTTGAGTTCACCATGGTCCTGCCTCAGCCTCCGAAAGGCTGTATTACATGATATTACAATTGTCATTTACCACCACACAAGGCTTGGTACTTAACTTTTTTGGTACTGGAAATCGAACTCATGACCATACGCTTCCAAGGCAGGCACTTATGCGGCTGAGCTAAATCTCTTGCATTGGTATATAATTTTTCAAATAATATATATCTTCCTTATCTCTAATCTAACCAAAAGAAAGTTTTCTTCTAACTAGTTTTTAACCTGAGCTACCTCATCCAGAACTTTTAAGGTAACAGAAACAAGGGTAAAGTGCTGCTGAAAGAGAAGAATAAACTTCAGATTGAGAGGAGCATATATAAGCTAACTTAACAGCAGGGTTCTTAGTGTAGACATCATTACAGATACAGTAACACTCCTGTCCCAAATTCACTGTCAATAAGGCCTATAAATACCAGTGCTGGTATTCACAAAGAACTGACCCTGAGTAGTAACAGTGAAAATCAGCTGAGCTGGGATCTAATGCCCAGCAAGAAAGCATTCTGTTCATTGAACAGGCCCAGTTCTAAGAGCAGGGTGTTCTTACCGAGCTACTCGGTCATGGCCCCCGGACACAAAATAATATCCATATGGAGAAAATTGTGTGTCCCACACTGGGTAGTTGTGTCCTTTATATCCAACCAAGCAAGTAAACGTTTGCAGGCTCCACAGTCTAACGGATCCGTCCTCTGAGGAGGAAAGTAGATAGTTCCTGAGAAGAAAGGGTGATACCTTCAAATAACCTGGTTACCTGTCCAGTTTCCTCACTTGTGAGCATGCTAAATTAGATGTTACATGTCGCCTTTTTTTTTTTTTTCTTTTTGTAGTTCAAACTGCCTTGAACTCAGGTAGTACAGGCTGGCCTTGAACTGGTGGCAATCCTCCTGCCTCAGCCTGCCAAGTGCTGGGATTATACATGTGTGCCACCACGGCTGGCTACATGTCATTTTTACACATGGGTTTATACTAGCTATAAAGAGCCAAAAATTCTACCCAAACTAACATCAGAACCAAATGTTAGTCCCAGCACTACATACACTGGACAACTACTAAATGAGTCTGGGTTATAAAATCTCAGTCTGTTAGGCAACAAAATCAGTTCTTTAGGGGAGAAAAAAAACTAGAGGGGGAAACAGAAACTATGTTCAAATACAGTAAATTGAGAGTTAAGAAATTTGATATGTTACTTAAAACAGTAATCTCTGGCTCTAAAATGGAGATGCTTCTGGAGACTGAGGCAGAAGGATCGATGTGAGTTCAAGGCCACCCTGAACAGAGATAGACTCTGTCTCAAAGAGAGAAATAAACATATAAAATTAATTTCTTTAAAAAAATTTATATTAAACATGATGAAGTACCACAAAATACAATATAGGGACTTAAACAATTCAAACTCTATTGGGGTTATACAAAAATAGAGCTAATTTTTGAAAACCAGGGAGCCCTAAACTGTTCATATTTATTCTGTACATTGAAACACATACTGTTATCCTGTATATAAGTATAACAAGATGAATTAACAAATGGTAGAATTCTAAAAAATGAATAGACAACTATGAAATTTTCCCAACTGAATTTTCCAGGCATTTGCATTGTGTGTCCCACAGCTAAGTTTTATATAAGCTCATACAGTACAGCAGTGTCTAATTTTTATTGTTTCTATTTTACCTATCCGGACTGAAGCTGGCTCCATAGACAGGCCCACTGTGACCATACAAAATCTTCAACTCACTTGCAGTTTTCTCATCCATGATTCTTTCTAAGACATCATCTGATTCTTTGTCTATGAGACTAAGATCTAAAATAGTCCAGAAATAATTTCTTTAAAGTGCATTCATCAAAAACATTTTAATTACATGATGGCTCAGGAGAACAACTGACATTAGAACAGTTCTTCCTATATGCTAACCACATGTTAATGCCTCTAAATTAGGTGACATCATCCCACGCAGTGGAGGAAACGAAGGTTCAGGAAGTTAAACATTTGCTGGAGTATAGCAAGGTACTCAATATTGAACTGAAATTTGGATTTGTCAATCATACCACAATGTTTCACAAAAATGAAATCCAGAAATACTAAAACTAAAATTTTAAACTATTTTGTTGAGATAATAGAATTAGCAAAAACCTTAAAATGAAATATTGACATTGTTTCTTTTTTAGGCATTTTTATAACTAAAACACAAAGTATTCAGTTACTTAAGGTCTCCCACTATTTAAGGGTTAAGATTTACAAAATTTTATAATTTTAGCATTAAGGAGTTTCTTAGTGTAATCCCTTCATTCTACCGATAAGAAAACTTGGAACTAGAGAAAATAGTCTCTAGTGGTCTCCTGCTGTGCACGCAAGTGCTCTCTGGCATCTGAGGTTAAAGTGAAATGAAGTGGAATGTCTGCAAATATCACAACCTCCTATGTACATTCCACAGAATTGAAACTGATTCTAGATTAATGGCAAGTTTATCCTCTCAAAAGTCGTCTCAATTACCTGCTGCTTGTTTGACGCTACGAAGCTTTTTGGGTGTCACAGACCACACTCTGACAGTTGAATCTGCGAACCCTCCAGCAATCAGACTTGAATCGTCAGTGACATCCACTGCAGTGAGGCCCTACCAATAACGAAGTTTTCTATTAGACAAGGCTCTTCTGGAGAAAAGAATTACTATCACATCTTACATAATTTATAGCAATGGTTAGTTTTCTAATATAAAAATCAGTGGTGATCCATTTTCCTATAAAACCCACTGACTAAAAGCTCATGCTTGAAGAGCAGGTTATTATTCACCCATTTCATTGGCCTCCATGTGTGAGAGCATAAGAGGAAGCAAATGCTAATTATTTTTGCATAGTGTTTGCTGGCTGTATCCTCT